GCATCAAGATAATGGCATCTTAAAATATAAATTCATTTAAAATCAAGGGGCAGGCAGCCTCTTTATGACAATCTCATTGACCAGCTTGCAGGCAAGGTTTTTGGAGGTAGAGTTTCCAAAAAAAAGTAAAAGATAAACTTTTTCTTCCTAGTCTCACAACATGTGTTAGACTTCTTCTCCAACTTACTAGTTTAATAGAATATAAGATTTTAAAACGGATTTTGGCATAATAAGATTGAGTATTTAAATAAGAAATAGCAAACAATAAATTCTTACAGTATATTACCATAGTTGAATTAGAAGAATAAATTTTGCTTTCATTGTTGATAATCTGATTTATAAATCTTTCATTAGATACTTTAATGGTTTTTTTTTGTAGATGCCTTTTGTACTTTTTATTTTAGTAGAAGAAGTGTAATTGTAACACTTTGTGTGTTTATATGCGTCTTGATTTGGTCGTATTATTTATGAAGATATGAAGAATGAAGAAACAAGACTTGAATTTGTTAAGTGTGTAATTCTTTGATTGATGCCAAGCTTTGGCAACAATCACTATAGGAGGATGTTGAATCTTTTAGCAAATTAAATTCAAATTTTCTTTCCTTTGATCTTACATATGGGTAAGCATGTAATATTGAACACGACAATGATGCTTGCTACAAAAAACAATAAGAAGAGGATTTCAACTCTATCTCCTTGAATATCTTAGAAGATTATTCTTTATTTGGAATATATTTTTGAAAAGTATTATAATATTATATAGAAACATTGTTACAGTATAGTATCCAAACACACATTATATAAATTTTTACGTAAGATTAATATAATTTATAAGTATTTACACCAAGATAATAAAATTATGAAGAAAAAGTTGGTAGCAAAGAATCACCAAATTAAGACAATTTAGGAAAAATTTTACAAATTTTTTTGAGTATTCCAATATCTTCTTTTTTATATTAAATTTTCACAATGTATTTAAAGTTAGACCATGTTGCAGAACAAACAAGTATAGAATATGAAGAAGATAGAAGGATTTTGCAAATTAACCAACAAGTTCATGAGAGTCCAAGCAGCAACTTCCAAAGCTCTATAAGAATTTAAGAATGAATGCAATGTTAGAGCTTGAAAAAATGAAGTGTGAAACACATGTTGAAAAGTAAAAAAAAATACTTTATTGTCTATTTATTAGTTGACAAGCTAGAATAATGTTTTGTCAAACCTTGCATGATTAGAAAGTCATGAAAAAAATCCAAGACTTATTGGAAGACTAATGTGATAAAGTTCATTTTTTTTTTGAGAGCTCTACCTTCAAAAACCCTACTTGCTAATTGGTTAGCAAGATCACTATAGGGAGGATTGTCTATACCTTGACCCTCCATAATCATTATTGATGTTAGTCTCTATACAACAATAACTAGCCATTTAGATGCCTCTATTTTTTGGCATGTGCATATAACAATTTGTGGCATGTGTTTAGTAAATTGGAGTGAAGTACTTTTAGCTTGAACCATATGTATATTGTTGTAATTTTTAATTTATTATTATTATTATTATTATTATTATGTGATAAAAATATTAAAATAAAATATTAGTTTATTTTAAATATTTTTATTTTTATATATTAAAAAATAAAAATATAATAATTTATTTAGTCTAATTCAATAACAATTTAAAATATATATTTTTTTTAATATTCTAATGGTTGATACATAATATGAATGTATAAATTGTATTTAAATTATGTACTATTAGAAAACACCAGTATCATTTTCTCATAGAAAAATTCATATTATTATAATTTTGATAATTAAATATTTATAATAAAATTATTTATATTTAAAAAATATTTTAATTTAAAATAATTGAAATAATATATTTAGATTATAATGCTAAATGATTATTTTTAATTTTTTAAAATACTTCTATAAAATTACATCAAATTAAATTTAAATTAAAAATTAAAAAACATAGTGTTAAGATATTATTTCTTTGTTAATAGGACATCTTTTTCATTTCTCTAGTATTAATAATCTTTTATATAATATCATAAAATGTGTTTCTTTTCTCATTAGATATTACTCTCATCTACTTAATTTTTCACTCCTATCTATATTGCTCTCATTCTTGATTATTATTGTTAGTATCATCAATTCATGCTAGATTTTGTATACCAATATTATTTGTAGGTGGTAGATGTTATACATCAATATCATCCACTATTTACAATCTCCATAAAATTGTGCACTTTGGATTGTAGTCTTTATATTAACTTATGAATTTAGATTTGTCATTTTCTTTTGTCTTTATTTGATAGAATTGGAGATAGTAAAAATAGTCTTATATTTTTTTACTATCAATTTGGTGGAAAGATGTTAGTTGGAGATCTTACATTCTTATAATATGATGTTGCTAGAAGCTCTATTTCTTGCCTCTTATACAACTTTTAAAAAAGCTCAAAAGATGGTCGAAGTCTTTGCAAAATAAAAAGAACACATGGTTTGAATGACACAATTTGTAAAAAAACTACAATTGTTTAGATGAAGAATTAAAAATAATAGACTTTGTTTGCTTATATAGTAAGAAAATTACAATGAGAGAACAATGGTTGAAGAATAATACCAGTACAAGAATAGTCTATTTCTTTTATGTTGTCATTAAGAGAAATTAGAAAACAGATCATGGTTTAGATGTTGATATTATAAATGCTTGCCACTTTTATAATTTGATTGAGAATATTGTGATCTATGTTGTAGCAAGGAGAATGAATGCCAACATGAAGCACATGATATCTACATTATTAAAAGCTAGTCATTACAAAAATCTTCTACTTCACTAGTTGCCTAATAGTGTATTAAAACATCTATAATTGAAGATGCAAATCAAAGGCGACAATTCTTGTATGTAAGAAACCAATAGAAGTAAAATTAGACATCTTCATTGAAAAAGGGATAAAGCATGAAATTAGAATCAATAAAAATGACAAGCTTATGTATCTCTTCTTTATATCAAAAACCAATGAAGAAACTAATAAAGAATATTCATTGAACTCTGTCAATATTTTTTTATTATATTTATAAGACAAACAAGTAATTTCCTTGATTCTAGAACATATTGATGTACTTATTGTGTATAGTATGATATACACTTCTAATTATTGTTGAGCAAAATAGGTACAAAATGCAGTTGCTACATAAGATGGGTTTCCTTCTAACAAGTAGTCCTTCTCACTATTTTATTGTTTTATTAGTAATGAGAAAGACTTGCATTGTAGATGGGCCTTAGAACAAGTGAAGAATGCTTTTGGAGTCTATCTTTGGTAGGACTACTTCTTTTTTCTCATAAATCTACAATTAATTTTAATGATTGTTATTTAAAGCATGATTGTGAAATACCAAAGTATAGCTTTGTATTTCATATATATAAAAAAAAGAGTGTCTTCACAAATATATAAGCCATCATTACGACAAATAGCCAATTCAAGAAGCTCATGTAGATGTGGCAAGCCTTGTGCTTCAACAAGGCAAAGGATACATATACATCTATTTGGACTAATATTAAAACATTAGTTATGCCCCATGTGTAGAAGTACTTAGAAAATATGTGGCTGGTTTACAATAAAAAAAACTTAAAGGGGCTTTGATTAAGTACATTTCTTATTTGGGCTACATCACAATATCTTGTATTAAGAAAGAGCATGCAACAATGAAAGGATTGTTGAAGATCTTGACATGGAATTTTCTTGCTGTGCATGAAAAATTAGAATTAGCAGACTCTTAATATAAACGTGTCATTACCTAAGAAGTACTAAATAATAAATGCATAATTGTGTATTTATTATGAATGTATTAATCTTACTTAACCATTTAATAAAATAAAGATATGCTTTAAAATAGTATTTTATATTATTATTTAATTATTGAATTTCTAATTATAATTGACTTATATATATATATATATATATATACGATATTTGATTATTTAATGATTTTAAAACTTAAAGTTATATGTGTATATCTTTATTGTGAAATAATTTATAAATAATAAATCTATAAATAATAATAATAATAATAATAATAATAATATAAGTCTATAATTCTTTAAAAGTAACAAGTTTGTATACTCCTTTTAATTATTTTTTTATGGATATATTTTATCTTACATATCCTTGAAAGTATATATGGATAGTTATGTAATAAATTTATGCTGTAAGTAACATTTTAATAATATTATTAATTATTTTAAATTGAACTATAAGATATTTGATTATTTAATACCAATTACCACCAATTAAATCAGATTATCAATTTCTGTAAGCAAAGAGAAGATGTAAATTAATTCAATTTTAAAAATTCAAAATTATTAAGTCTTAGCTAAAGAAAATTTAAATTTTGAAAAAAAAACATTAAAATGTATAAAGTATTTTTTCTATTATTGTTGTGTTTGATTATATCTTTCAATCAATAATTGTTCTACACATTAGAAACAATTAAATAATGTATTAAAACTTTTGCATTCAATTACTGTTATGTTCATTTTTTTACGAGGCCAGTGTAAATTTCGAACAGGTTAATTCATTTAACATGCACAAACTTGTACATTTAGCTTCACATTGTAATTGTTTTTCAACTTCCAATTATGATTTTAAATACAAAACTCACCTTTTTAGATCTTTTAGAAAATAAAAAAGAAAATAAAATGACAAGAATTATAAAACATAACATCATTTACCAATGAAAATGTGACTAAACATGTATATTGAAAATTAAAATTTACAATGTGTTTTTTTAAAAACCATTTTTTTATCGTGTGGTGTCTTGAATTCATTCTTGTTATAAAGTACAAACTTTGCACAAAGGATTTGCAGAGAACAATAGATAAATCAATAACAGTATTATATAATAGACCAGATTACTTAATTATTTTGCGTTACCTTCAGCATTTTGCATTTGAAGCAACAAACGCAACAAGGCACATAAAAATGATTTGTCCTCACAAGCAAATTGAAGTAACAGCCTTGTAAATAGGAAGGCATGCTTTTATATTAGAAGATGTAGCTGAACTTTGTTAGTAAAATGTTATTTATCAAAAACCTATATGTTTTGACCTTCACATGCTTTACATCATTACAAGAGTAGAATTGAAGCGTATATTTGATAATTGGCAATAACATCAATAATTACTTGGTCTCCGGCATGAGAAATCCTTAACAGCGAAAAGCTTGGTGTCCAAGCTCTGCACAACAGCATAGAACCATCTTGCGCGACAGCTAAGTCAATGAGTGACACCAGTAGTTTACACAAATTGAATGTGATCAAACAAGAGAAAATGGTAAAGCATCCTTTTCTTGGATGTTGCTAATAATATTGCAAAGCTTACCAGAAGAATGGGAGTCGATAAAAGCTGGAAGAAAATTTCCCATTCCGACTCGAGACGCACAGGTTGCGCACACCACCAGCAACCCAACGAACCCAAGTTGGATGTTTCAAACTAACCTGATGAGAACTTCATGCTTGAGCCACGCCTGATAATACCACCAATTGGAGATCATCATAATCATCCAATGTTAACATAAATCTCACGCACCGACGGAATTAGACTCTCAAACTGAGAGCATTGAGCTAGTTGATTCAGTAAATGTGTTGCAAATGTGCGCTTCGTCTACCAACAGAGATCCCAACACTATTCTGCACTCCAAATCCTCATCCTCTTCAGAAAAACGGTAGGGATTATGGGAATGCTCTCAGGCTGGAGGGTGAAGATCGATTAGGAACGGCTGATGAAGACTAAATTCCTAAAAAGCGCCAAAAGGTCATTAAGCCTTGAAGCTAGGTGCTGCTATTATTTGGACTCAAAAGATAAGTCACTTGCACAAATGCAAGCCGTCGTCTTCCAGAGCAAGAGCAACATGACGCTGGCCTCACGTTTACGATTGTGTCGCGCATTTCCTAACATTAACCTGAATTTAACAGTCAACTTCTGTGAGCATCGTAAATAGAAGGATTTCCACAAGTCGGCCGGGATGCGATTAAATATCATGAATAAGCGTAGAAGCAAGATGAAACAGGACAATAACTTGAGAGTACGAAAAAAAGGATATGTTAAGATCAAGCAAGGACATCAATTCAGAGAACACAGGAAAATTGATGAGAAGCAACGACGACTACGTACCTAGCACAGCTTGGAAGTAGAGACAAGTTGATTGGGCTGTGGTGCTGATGAGCGAAAAATGGGATCTTTCGAACTACACACAAGCTACTGGTTAAGGACCTCACAAATTTAGGTACAGATGATCCATCAATTCCAGTCTAGGCTTGTCTTCCCAACCGACGATGTACAGGTTTCCTTGAATCGTATAACCTAGCATGTCTTGGAGGTTTTCTAATTGCTGACTTCAAGATGGGTTTGACCACAAAGGAGTAGAAAAAAACAACTAATTACATAAGCGATTGAAGCAGAAACACATCCGTATGAACATGCAACGAAACAACATGAACTACTGACGTCTTCCTGGCAGAAGTCTACATGCCAAAGTTCGCAAAACTAAGAACTTGGCATCTAAATAATGGACGATTTGGTTCTCCAATCGTCGGCAGTCGAAGCGTCCATTCCTTCTTCGCCTCACCAGTGCAGATCTTGAGGACCCGTGAGTGCTCGACAGTTTAGATGAACAACTCGATCTAGTTGTATACGTGCAGTTCCCAGGTAAATAAAAGCTGTACACTTGCTCGGCAACTTTACTACATATCTTTGGTGCAAGTGCCTGATCGTTTTCTCGATCACTAAAAAGGCCTTATCCACAATTGAACCGCCTGCTTCTATCCTCTTCAACTGAAGATCACGAAGTTTATTCAGTGTCCACATCCAAAAACGATCCGCCAGAGGAGCAATGTGTACATCCTCGAGACAAGTCGCTTCAGCGGGTCACAGTGGTAGCTGCTTCAACCCATGCAGAAGTTTAGACGTTGAGAACGGTGATCCTTCTCATCTCATTATTTATTTCCAGCTGATGAACATAATGCTTCTACTCCCATGGAAAGCCTTCCGCCAAGTTGTGAAGAGCAGCAATACTCGAATAAAATGTAAAAATCAATTTGACTTGGATACACATCTTCCATTATAGAACTTCAACATAGAGTCGTAATGTGCGCCTCGCGTGCAGGTTTATTTCCATTGCCTCTACTGACAATCGAGCAAACGATGCGACGAAGTAACTCAGATTCGACCGACACCAATTTCAGAAGGATTCAGCGTCCACTGGACAAGAACACATGCAACATCAGTCTCAAATGCACAAGTAAATATTCACAAAGGACTGATATAGAAACCTTCACACTGGATTAACAAGACGTGTTTAAACTGGTCACGATAGAAGGACGGATAGTCTTTATAATAACAGGCATTCTCAATAATAAGCCGATTTTAACTACCGCTAATAAAACAGCCTTTGCACATCTCATCTTGGCCGTAGGCGCAAGAAGCAGGGATTAAACGTTAAAAAATAGAATGGAAGACCAGTATCTCAGATTCCACAGCTAGCATGAAAACGCTAAATACATAGAACTGTACTAATTGTCCAAGAATTGATGTTGCAAAGTCAAATCTTAGGAATTAAGGCTCAATAAAGCACAGGACGGTAGCAGTCATTACTCATAGCGTTCCCTCGTGAAACACTTCACTTGGCTGCAACAACATGAAATCATGCTCTGCACTTGGAACCTCATAAAACCAGAACGCAAAACCAGAACGCAGATTTCTAGTTTACGAGAGAAAAAATAATAATAATAATAATAATAATAATAAAATAAATGCCGCTGCTAATTTGTGAGTTCTGTGGAAAAGTAATGTCTCAACCAGCAACGCGCTCAGGAGAGACGAACAAGAACGAATGGTTGAAAAGGAGGAGCCTCAACGCCTTGTAGGCTTCGGTTAACAAATTAAACAAGTTGAATCATTCTAATCAAAAAAACACTGAAGGATCGATTCTAATGAAGCCATCAATTCTATGCATCTCTAAAGAAAGCTCTGACATTCCATAGTGAGTACAATGCCCTGGTCTATAAAACACTGGACCACAGCTGGACATATACCAGCTCAAGGTAGAAACTAAATGAAAATAGATCTTTAAATACACTTTATGGCGTAAAGATAATAAGCTCAGAGAAAAGAAGGTTTCAACGAAAGTGATCGTGCATGCGCTACACATTCCCGATCAACAGGTTTGATGTAGTAGAACACGAAGATTATGTTTCAAAAGTAGGAAAAGAAACAGTGTAGTTTGGAGATAAAAATAAATAAATAAATAAAACCATTTAGGTACCAGAAGTCACGAAAACAGTTGTAAATTCCAGAAGGTGCGATCGGGTATAAAGGCTGAACGTTCCCCGAAACACAACCATCTCGAACGTGTACCAATCTAGAAACATGTCAAACACCTTACACTAGGAAAATCTAACATTCAAACAACCTTAACTTGTTATCCGTCTTCAGAGTTGCAACAAACAAGACAGAGAGCCAGCAGCGACCGAATCTATGTGTTCTACCTCACCCAGGATTTACACCGCAATTCAGTTCCCATACACGGGGTTCAAAATTCCGAACAATATTCACTTACATGGTTCTGGACACACGATCCCTGGCATGTGGTGAGCTTCCCGTGCTGGTCCACGGAAGGTCCGAAAAAACAGCATCAATCCTGCGTACAGAAGAAAGTCCGTCCTGAGCCACCTCGCGACCGGTGAATCCCTCCTCGACCTCGCAGAAACAATGAACTCCACTAGCGCCATCACCCTGGCGCTCGCGAGAAAAGAAAAACCTATGAGATCCTCGCACATTCTCGACAAATGCCTTCCATGTGAGGAGAGCTCTGCTGCCCCCGCGCTCAAAGATTCATTTCGAATTTCAGCGCGAATCATGCACGGGGCAGCGAAAGAAACGGGGACTGGAGGATTGACAACTTGCCGCGCAAGGCGACGAATTCAAACACCGACGCGGGAGGTTCGGGAGGAAGGCAACGAGAAGGGAAGAGGGAGAATGGAATGCCTGCCGAGCAGTGAAGCTTAAGCACCAGGCATCTTGCCGCCATCATCGCGACGCTCACTCTGCGGTCTTCAATACCGACGATGGGAACAATGGCGCCGGAGCGGGCCGAGTCGGATCTTGGGGGTGGGGGGCAGAGCTGGGCCCGGTCGGGCCATGCGGGGCGGCGCTGAGTTTTGGCTCCTTCCGACCCTGAGTGAGTCACATGTGGTTATATGTCAACGACCTGTAGCTATCATCACCAGCTTTGGATGGAAGTCGTTCATTTCACGTGTACCACGTGCCATTTCCTGTTTCCAACGCTTGCTGCTGTTATGTGCCACCTCAGCATAGAAGTGAACTTCCCCTCACCTTCAATCAGCATATTTACTTACTGTCTGTCTGTCTAATTGAATATGGTCTAGACCAACAGTAGGGTATTCACTTCGGCAAGTTATTCACTTGTAGAGGTCAAGCTAAGGGCCTTTTATGCTCTATGGATGGGCAATGTTATTCTTGGACTTTGTTCGCACTTGATGGTCCCCGTAACGCAAAATCCACCCGATTTTAGAAATGTGTAAGGGACTGAAGCGCTTTATGACATTTCATAGGTAGTCATATTAAGACCAAATGACTTCTATTGCAAGTCAAAATTCCACCAATTCATTGATGGACTACTCCAATTATCTTTTCCGCTCCCCATAATTGGTGAAGGATGAGTTGCTAGCCTCATTTCTAAAACTAATGATGTGTCAAAAAATTGGGGGAGGGCTTTGTATTTTAGCTACACTTTTGTCCACCAATCAAGCATAGAAGGAGGCTCTAAGTATATGCCGAAGGTTGGGATGAAGACATTGATATGCATTTAGGGAGGTTGTGCAATTACGGAGTATGTTTTTGGGCAAGTTCTATTATATATATGTATGATGGATGAAGTTCTAGAATCAAGGTTTTAAATTAATGTTTCATAAAATGCATTAAAATTGTTGAAGTTGAGGTGGAGAATTACTTTAATTCTTATAAAAAATGCTCATTTTTATATTAAAATAAAATAGAATAAATTATAAATCTTGTTAATTCTAACAAGTAGACTTGGTTTATAATAATCATTTCAAAAAAATTAATTTAAAATTTTTAGTTCATTATCATTCAAAAAATCAACTAAGTAATTATTTGAAGTTTATTAGTTTATTATCATTCAATTTTCATCTTGAAGTTTTACCAAAAAAAAATCAAGTTTTTATTTATGACTTCATAAAAATTTTATGATTTCATTCAAATTTTATATAATTTTGCTTGTACTATTCAATAAATTCTAGAATCAATTATTTTAATAAGAATAAACTTTTATCAAATCTTGTAAAATTTCTTAGTGTATCATTTTTAATGATTATACAAAACAGCTAACTTCTATGAAACTTATTTTAAAACTTTTTATTTTCTTTTTATGAATAGAATTAATATTTATTATTATTATTTTTTTTCAAATTTCAAACCGTCTATATGTAAAAAGACATATAAAGTTTTTTTTTTTTTTTTTTTTTTTTTTTCTTACTCAATGGTTTAGAATCATTTCTGCAAAATTAGTAGGTCATTTTATTTGTATACATAATAAAACAAGCATCAAATAAAAATTGATTAATCATAGTGCCATACATATAGATTCTTTAACTTCTTAAATACAAATTATAAAACTATATGATATCAATGTGGACATGTAACTTTTATGAAATATTACGTGATTAATTGGAACATATCTGGTTGATAGCACATTGATATCCATAAATAAGTTGGAATTATCTTAAAGTATTAATATAGGTATATAGTTGTCATATCCTATTGAACCATCATGTAACCAAATTGTTTTTATTTATCTATTTATTTATTCATGACCTAAATATTTTTAATATAAAATTTATATGCGTAATAATTTAAATTTTAATTAATATCGGGCTGAAACTTAAATTTCAAAATATCCAAAATTAAAATGAATTAAAATAATATTTTTAATATATTTGTTAAAAAATAGATTTTATGCATTTTAAATAAACGTAATTTTATTTTAAAGCAACATATCTGGGAGAGAAATAATGTGTATCTAAATTGGATGTCTTATAATCCCATGTAAGAATCAATATAATTTAATTATCTTCAATAAGTTAATATGGGTTTGTAATTCAACCTAAATTATTACTCTATTAAGTATTTAAGGTTTATACATCTATCCAACCAATATTCATCATAATCCATACAATAGTTGTTATCTCAATTTTTTATCTACAAAATACATCACATCGAAATTAACAATTTTATCTAAATATTACATTCATCCAAAAAAATCAACTATTAATTCAATTATTGATTCCAAGTATAATTGCTTTTTTTCTAATATTTCATCTAAAAATCATCTATAGCAACTAACTAACGGATGTATAAAATCATCCAAACAAATGATTTGGATACTATTTATTACCCATTATAGTCAGTATATGTGTCATGAGCATTTAGAATATATTTTGTTGTCATAACTTAAAAGAGATATTAAATGCATCATCCTAGCTAGGATATTTTGATAGTAAGTCTCTTGCATTTAAGAAAATTAAAAACCAAAAAAGTATAATAATAATTTTGAAGTTGAGGAAAATACATATTTCAGACCATCAAACAGTAAAAGATTAATAAATTTTGAGAAAAATAAGCAATCAAAAAGTAAAAGTTCAATAATTACTTCATTTCAAACTTACTTCAAACCTTCAATCATCCTCAGATAAACAACTATCTCTTACTTGCCTCTATGCTTTATAAACAAAAATCATTCAAATAATTAATCTCTTTGATATAAATTTATCTTCAAAATTTATTTTTATATTTGATTTTTATTATTATTGAAGAACCTAAATTACCACTTCCTTTATAATCTAAATCAAAAATACATTAGCACTCAAAGAGATAATTTGTAGATTTGTTGTTGAATCTAATATGTATTTCTTTACTAGGTGTAAGATCTACATACCTATGTTTACTCTCATGTGTGTGTCTAGATAAATAAAAGTAAAATTAAAAGAAAAAAATTTAAAATCAATTATACCAAGTGAATACCCAAATTTTCTTCCCCCTTCCATCCTTGTTTCAATTTCACCAAACTCACAATACAAGAAGGCATAGTGAGTGACCCATGGGGCCTCATCAACGCCGTTATCTTCGACGGCGACGACGACGGCGCTCTCGGCGGCAAAAGCAATGGACGGCAGCTCTTTCGGCGGCAAGGCCAGCACACGGCGGGGCTTCCAGGAAGAGCCAACGTTGGCAAAGCGATTGCAACCATGAATTTACTTGCTCGCAATGAACTCACAATGAATCCCTGCTCGGCTACAATTGCTACTTGAGCGCGGTGAAGGAGGTAGGGAATTCAGGGCGGCATGCACTGATCTAGGCCCCAAGCAACTGGAGTATTGGTGCACAGTCGCCGATCTAGGGGATCCATAAGCCTCTTGCCCGACGTTGAACTGGAACAGTACAGATGCTGTATACATGATAACTCTCATGCAGTGTGTATTATGGTTGCGATTGTTGTGTGTACGGGAGAATGACACAAATAATGGTTGGCTGGCTATGGTGGTAGAGTGGATAGTCGCCTTAGTGAATGAGGATATCGAGGTCGTTCTCTGTTTATGATCGAAGTGAGGCTTGGGAATAACTGTAAACTGAGCTTGGAAGTGGGGTGAAATGAGGACAGAAGATGCACACTCTGAAGCATTGTCTGCACTCTACACAATAGTGAAGCTTAGACATAAAGCTGACATCAGATACACAGATACTTCCAGGTCTTGTTCAACAAATGGAAAACGCGGTTGAAATTTTTTCATAGTATTCCGTGATACTAAACCAGCGCAGTAAGCAAGTGCTCCACGTAAACTGACTGTAGATGATCTTCTCTATCGGGCTTCCGAGGAAGTCTCCCGAGAGGAAGCACTGCAGCCATAGATTGCTAATCGACCAGATGCTGACTAGATTTGTTCTACTTTGGATCATAATTTACAAAGAATAAAGAACCTTTCTCCTGCAGATGATCCTCGCCGCTTGTAGCATTTATCTTCATTCCACTTGAGAGAAGACAATTTCCCAGTTGCTGGCCTTCGTCAAAGATTTACTGTGAAAACGAAGCTGTCCAATGCTACATAAATTCAAGGATCAGCGTCTTGTCAATTGGTACATGTTGCCACACCTGCCGAACCATGTAACCGGAAACTCCACATTTAGTTAATTGTGAAATAGTATGGGAAACTGCACAACGCTGATTGTATTCATTTGGACAGTCAGGTGTGGTTTGCGATAGAATTGCATAAATACCATGTGTTTTCAGAAAATCTTTCTTTAGTTTTTCTTCATGAACTATGCGCACAAATCCAGTTTTAATTACATAAGAGGACACTTTTGACCCAATCTGATGAGGAGATTCAAAACACCTATTGCGAAATAAGTGCGAACGCAAGGTCCTCAAGCTAATCTGGTAGCTTACCCTGATTCCAGCCATAGACAGGAGTCGTCGAGATGCAACAAATGCAGGTTCAGTGCCTCCTGCATTGTTCTCTATATGCGCGCCTTTGTCTGTATAGTAAACCACCTCAGCAATTCCTGCCTGAACATCACAGATGCACATTTCTGTGAAGTAGTGATAGTTGAGGATGGTGGACTACAGTACTGTGAATCACCCAATTCATTTTATTAAAAGCAAGCTCTAGAGTGATTGCAAAACAATCTACACGTAGCTCCTCTATGACCGATCTCAAATAATCCAAAAAAAGAAAATTGTTGGCCAGCACCCAGAAAATTGTTCTTCCACTGGTATTTTGATCCATGACCGGATATGCTTACCTGAATAATTATCTTGGCACATTCATTGCAAGGGAAGAGGGTCACGTACAGTCTCTGCCACATTTCACAAGGTATGCATCTTACTTGACAGAAACAACGACTAGTATACTATTTTTAGAAAAGTAAAAAGCTTCTGGATCAACTACTAAAGCTTTTTCACCTTAAGTTCGAAAAACTGGTTCTAATCAGGCCAAGCATGACACAACCTGGAAGCTTACCTGGCCTGAAGCTGAAGCATGGTTCTTGTTCAGGATTGCATTTACTTCCGCGTGGCATACATATCTGCACCGTAGTAATAGTATTGTCTACATGTCATGAGGGATTGTAGCGAGAAGCATGTAGGAAACTACCAGAAGAGATCTAACAAAGAGGAGACAGAGAAGACGGAGTTGTGCAGCTCACGGATATTTGGTTTGCAGCGGATCACCAGACTGCGATTTCTGAAAAATTCAAGCAGAAATTTCTTGTTAGTTGAAGCAATATACAAGCCTTCTGGACTTTACAAAGGTTTCTTCACATGAAAATTGGAATAAAAATACCCACGCTTTACCACAAAATGACGTATCGCTGGATAATAATAGTAATAACGCGTGGAAGAAATAGTAGTACCTTGGCCCATGGAAGTTGGTCATCTGAGCAACCCCTTGGGAAGCCATTGTAACCGATTCCTGCTCAAGCGTCAATCACCCAGTTGCACGCATTCGTAAGAGACCAATTTGAGAATGCTTAAGCAAATCCCTCCTTCGTAGCTACTGCGTAGTTGAAAGTGCTTGACATGCAGAATCATACTATTCAAAGGCAGGTGTGTGTAGAGGAGAATAGAGAGCATTTTTTTACTAGATTTTCGTACCAAGAATAACGCGGTCCTGGCTTACAATGCATGCCCCAACCTAGATAAGAGCAGCGAGAAGCACAATCAGTCAAGTGGCTTTTAGGTTTCCAACGATGAAAGGTCTCGTGTAAGGACGGCTTCAGTAAGTCATCTATACAGTGGTAAGTTTTCTCGGAATAAATTAAGTTGGTATCTACTCCTACCTGGCGATTGGGATCCTTTGAACGCTTCGCCGACAGAAATGCAATAGCCATGAAGTAGTCATCCCATGACAAGTATCTGCTACAACCCAATGATAAGATTTACGGCAGTTCGAAACGGAATCAAAAGAAGACATTGGAGCGTCGTGATGTTGGAAGAAATATGCAGAAGATACATTATTCACACGATGAATGTTGCCAGAATGACAGGAGGAATGACATACCCTTGTCGTTTCGATGGATTGTAAGGGTCGGGCTTATCGGCAACAGTCAATGTCTGAGGAGTGGTTGACGGGGGGTGGTCTATCATAACACCCACATCCTCAAAACCATCAACATCGTTGTCAACAGGCACGCTGTGAGTTCCCCAGCAGGTATGAAGCTTCGGTGACGAACATTCGGTGTCTTGGACAAGAATATCCCTTCTTGCTGATGAAGAACGATGGGTTTCATGAGAAACACTACCAACACCTTCACCTCTCTGTCGACGAATCTTTTCAAACTTCAGTAAGAGCCACCTCAAACATCTTCACACGCACAACCTTGCTCCCACCCACCTCTTGCAATTTTTATAAATATATATACTGAAATAAAATGGAATTTAAAGTTACAAAAAATCTGCCCTAGCATTGTTTTCTCTTCAAAAAACGTGATCATAAGCCAAGTTATGATAAGGACACAAAGCATGTGGTAGATGAATTAGAGCCCTACTCTTTACCTACAACCTCTCGAGTTTCAACCTTAGAATTAATTATTTAAAATTTACGATTGTCAGAAGTTTTCTTTCTACGAGAGTCTATCGAAGTTAGAAAAGGTAGCGGGTGAATACAAGACAAATCTTAAGCCCTAAACCCCCACGATAGACCTTACGAGACCCTACTTGGGAACAAAGTTATGGCGCATTTCTAAGGAAAAGATGGGGCAGTTAATCATAATAGTCGCAAAGACTCTGACAGAGCACAACTAACAAATGAAACGATGAAGAAGGAGGAAGAAGGGACATCATACCGACCGCCAGAAAAAAACCCGTCGAAGGCAAAGCTTGAGCCACTCCAACACTTTTGTCTCCTCAGTAGCAGCCTCGTTACACTGATGTGGAGGAGCCGAGCGGGACCGACCTCCAACAATGCATGCTAGCGCGACCAGCCCTCCTCCAATAGCGCCCGAAGCTGCAGACACGAGCACCAGTTCTCTCCTGCTCACCAACGTCATCTTCACAGGGCCAAGGCCTCAAGAAACCCCTCTTCCTGAAGCGGAAATCTCAGCACCGCGTTGATGACGACCCCGACGAACCCTTCATTTGGCTGCATCCACAACAATCTCAAGAATGTTATTGGAATCCCCGCATCCGGGCCCAACTCCCGACTGAAAAATAATGCGAAAGACAAGTGGGTTCAAAGCGACTCACGATGAATCATCTGGGGAAAAGTAGGCGCCTAATTACCATGCGAGATTCTCTTGCAGTTTGAGCTCTTTCTGCCGATTATCCGCATGCCACTCAATTAAGCGGAGCGAAGAAATCAGTCAGTGGCATCGCATAAACGTGCTAGTTTCAAGGCGAAGCATATGCCATAGCTTCATGCTACCACTAAAATCAAATATATAGGGTTATAATAATCCTTGAACTACATATAGTCAAAATGCCGCCGCCTGTGAGCTTATGAGCTTGTGATTGACAAACAATGTGGTTCAAGGTGAATCCATTCAGACACTGAGTCGACATCTTAATTCTTTTAGTTAAACGGCAGATCATGTAACTAGATGACAATGGAATTAAATTTGTAGAATTCGAAGCTGCGTGCAACAAGGTAGATAGCCACAGTCGAAATACTCTCGATGTGCTTCAATACATAGTGAAAGAAAACGAAAATTATTTTACTACAGAACAATGCTTTAGGAAACAGCCCCTCTCAAAATTTGGCTACCGACCATGATATTTTTTGCATTCTTTTTTAACAATTGGCAGATTTCATACATGGATGTGAGTATGTTTAGACATATATATATATATATATATATATACAGAAGAAGGGCATTTCTTGTATGGCAGTTGATGATCTCTAGGGACTCAATTGAACGTAAGGATAGTTTAATTTTGGTCTCCGCTCTTCATGCACTATTTCTACAATTTCGACCACAGATTGCTATTTGATTTACTTTTTCATCACTTGTTTGCAACGTGATAGAAATCGGCATTCATTCATTGCTGATTTCACTCACCCATTGATTCCGCATTCATGGCCATTTATATCAAAGGATAGTTTGCGAAAAACACTGGATCATTTATTCACATTAGTGTATTCATGTACGACTTTCTGTAGATAAGCTACAACAATACAAAAGAGAGCTCTATGAGATGTACAAGCCTAGTATCTCATTTGGACTACAATCTTCTGAGGATGAGACTGAAGGTCAAATTTACCCAACTTGAGCTGCCACGGTGACAGAAACGGCCAAGAACTGTTTGCAACAAGCCATTGATTATTTCGTCAGTTGGATCGCTCATGCGTTTGTCGAATTCTTTCTGGAGCCTGATTGCTTCTATGCTTGACATTTGGGCAGGTCCACAACAAAACTCAGTTTGCGATTCTTCGCCGAGAGTCATATTTCTGCGTCTTGTGAAGTGTGTCTGGCTTCTGTAGCGTGTTCTGCAAGTTGCCACCACCGCTGTCAATTGTTGGTGAGAGCGTTCAATGTGGAGGAGAATCTGCAACGGGGGATGATGTTAAGATTTAGTGGGTTGTAGATGTAGTAGCGTGGCGTGAAGCATTTGCGTCGTTTCACAAGATTGAGAGTATTTCAGTGCAGCACATCACGCCGTTGCCACCTTTAAGTGAAACTGTTGTGGAGGCGTTCATCAAATTAGACCCCGTGCACGGTCCACGGCTCAGGCTCACGTTCTCTTTTCTTGTAGCCCTAATTTTGGCTCATCTTGTAATATGCCATCGGATCAAGAGAATGCTGTCGATACATCAGGTTAATTATATCTTCGGCTTGATTGCCAATTTTCCCAGCTTGTCCCGTTTCTTAGTTTCCTTTCCCATTGATCATGACCACCAGTTTGGTTGAATGTGTTTCACATGTTTTTTTTTGAAGTTTCCATTTGAATAATCAATTTGTGGTTCTTTTTGGGATATGCATTGGACCCAAAAATGAACAATCTCAATTGAACCCATTTACTGTGGCAGGATTTGCATTAGCGTCAAATCGTTAAAGTAAGTGTGTACCACAGCGATTTTCGGTTTGCAGTCACTGCTCATGTTCAAACTTTTGGATCCGACTTCGCATCATCAGCTTGTACCTTTACCCGCTGGTGACGCTTCTGTTTTTCTTCTACGAGGCTTCTCTAAGCTTCATTTCACTTGGGTAAAATACACTGCCGAGGTTAGCAATTACTATGACCCTTTCTAATGAGATAAACAGCGCAGTCAGGTGGCAGATGGAGATGGCTTCGACTCGCCGGGGCTTTGTGAAAAAGGTCCTCCGAAGCACGAGAAACAGTTTCGGTTAATCTGGGGTTGACTGTCGGGCAAGTGCCGGTGAACTTCCGATCAGAGCGAGCATCAGAATCGCCATGCCTGTTGACGATCGGTCGATGCGTAGACTCGGCATCTTCGACTCGTGACTTAGGTTCACCGGTCTGGCGACGCATCCTATCTTCAACGATGACGAGATCTAGAACGTCGACGATCCTGCTACCAATTGTTCTACGAGATAAACCATTGATTCTTCATTGTCCTGACTCTTGAAGACTAAAGCTACCCTAAATTCTGCTGAGGGGAAATGTGGGCATGGATCGCAGTAATGATGCTGTCTTGCTCAGTTATGATGCTGTTGCGGTTAGGACGAGGTTGGAGATCATTGACTTGAGTTTTGACATTATGAAGTGTAGTGTGGGTTCCGTAGCTACACCCTAAGCTGGGGCATCGGATGTTTACAGCGGGACAAGAGAGTGTTCGACATCGTGGGTAACTCTTGTAACTGAAAACCCGAATGATAGCTTCTGGTTGTGAGTCAAGTTCTGAGGTAGGCCAATCTGTGGTCTGATTCGTAGCTGAGGCAGAGAATATCTGAAGACTTGGATTTATGAGCCTGGGACCGTGCTCTGGAGGGTTTGAACAAGGGATTCGGTTGCTGCGTGGGAGCTATGGTGCGACGAGTCTCTAGAAGGCTGCGAGGAAGGTCTTCAGAGCCACAGTCGCCACGACTTCAACTGGAGCCGATAATCACTAATTGCCAATCGTCGCCAAGTCTGCAAACAAAGCTCGCTAAGGCCGTGGAAAAGCTGAGCTTGTTAGACCATGTTGTGGCGCTTGACAGGAAGTTCTTGGCGTAGGTGCATGAACATGGCTTGGGAATCTTCTTCTGAATATTCTTGTGAACCTTGGAGTTCTCTGGCGATGGCGACTTCCTTATCCCTTGGGCGGCCGCAACGTTCCTGGCTCCTGAGCCCAGACTCACCCCTGAGCTTCGCACTTTCTTCAATCTGTTCATGGCCTTCCTGTTCGACTTGATCATCGTGTCCATCATCAAGAAGATCGTGCGTCGGCCGCGGCCAAAGTACAACCGTAAACACTTTGTAACAGTCCAAGTGGACCATTGGTCGTTTCCAAGTGGTCACTCCACGCGGGTGTTGCTGTTGATGACGATGTTCGGTCTGTACCTCCCAATGTGGAAAGACCAATCGCACCGGGTGTGGTTACCGTATCTGGAACGCAAACTTGAGAAGCGGATTGTGATTATGAAGGAGTTTCAATCGACTGCTGAAGCTATTATCGTAAACTTTTTTGGGAGCGTCCTCACGGCATGGGCGGTTGCCACAACATCCTCCCGCATCATCCTAGGGCGTCACTTCTTCTGCGATGTAGTTGCAGACTCCATTCCAGGTATCTTCGAGGCTTTTTTTGCTTACTACGTCCTGGACATTCCCAACGGCACATCGGAGGCAATTCATCGCAACATCAACGGCGTTTTAGCGTGGTTTGAGAATGAGCATAGCTAAGGACATCGTGGTAACAAGCTGCTATGTTGTATGACACCCCTTCGTCCAAGATATGTTTGGCCTGTCCGTGATGGCCCTAATTTGCCGATCATTTAGGTCCAGAAACAATGATGGATTTGATCGAAGCACACGGGCTTGCAGGTAACGTAAGGATAATTGGGATGTCCCGTCCCTTGCAAAGAAACTCCACTCAATCCCAGAGAATTTATTGCTTTGACCTGTAAAATTACACAACTTCAATATGTACTCACACTTGCAATAAGGTAAAGCGCATCAATAATAAACAAAATATAGTCGATCACTGACAGGATACATTCATGCCATATCCTAATTCATCAGTCAAGTCCATTATCTGTAGTCTTCCTCGTTGAGCCTTCTGGGTTCACTCTAACCCTAACCTCAAACCAACTCAACCCCATCTCTTCTCTTCATCATCACTATCTGACACAAGCATATGCTCAGTCACACATTCTGATGTAAAATTTCTCATATAATCAAGGACGTATATCATACAACAAAGTGAAGCTCAACCACACAAGCTGGCAGAGATAGCTCAATACAACTCCTTATGAAGTTACTCTCAAAAATATAAGATGAGGAAAAACACGTTTCGGACAAGAAACGTTACTCGTTCGGTGTTTAAACAGGGTGGCTGATCTCGAGACAGTACGAGGAACAATGTGCAACGGAATACCTGTGCTCTGATCGCTATCTCATTCTGAAGATTCCAGGTCACTTGAGTTCCTCTCGTTGCTAGTTTGATTCCTTTACAAGCATGTACTGAAGCACTTCAAACTTTCCTCTTTTTTCTAGCGCTGGAAACTGCTTTGGAAATGCACTGCTCTCGGTAGACGCAGTGAGCTGAGACAACGAATGCCGGCCCGAAGATGAAAGCTCCGATGAATTCAATCAGTGCGATTAGAGGTCCGTCTTCAACTGCCGCAAGGTAAACGAAAGATAGGAACAGCGAGACAGAGTTGATCAACAAGAAATAGGCAGGCCATTCTTCAGCTCTGTGCGAGATGAAGAGCTGGATAACTCGGCTAGGGATGTCGTGGTCGCAGAATACATACAAAAGTGCAACAAGGTGCCATGTGAGTCCGAATGCGGCTTGCAGGAGATGCAATGCGATCACACCCTTATGGCCCTTCTGCTGCGGCGCATCAAAGGGTGTTGCGAAGGGTAGATGCACTACATTGACTGCGATTGGCATTGCGAAGAAAATCAAGCACACTATCTGCTTCTTGTCTGTCTTGAGAGGGAAGAAGAGTGCAATGGCGGTGAGCCAGAGAAAGAGGAAGGCAAAGGCTATTGCGGATACGCGAGGCAAGGAGATTTTCTTCTTCCATGCCTGGTTATGATCGCGAGTTCCAGCGTCACAAAGGAAGTACATGGGTAACCAAAGCAAGCAGAAGGACATGGACATGCCCGTGATTTGGGAGATTATGCTGTAGATCCAGGTAACGGAGAGAAACAACCCTGACTTCAACCTGGAACCTTCAACAGCCATAAAGGCCAGGACGGAGACGAGGAGTGTTCCGGCATATCCGGTTATCCACTTGCCATCGTCCGACCGCGAGGCGTACACGAAGAAATTCGTGGCCATGCAGAGGAACTTGTCTAAGGGTGCGATGTTGGATCTCCAAGAGTACGCAGCTCTCTCTGGGCAACCTCTCTCCACCAGTCTCAACCCATTCTCCAACTCTCTGAGAACCAGAATGGCAGTGAGAATCGCCCAGGCCACCACAGGAACTGACTTCGCAGCTCGCATTCCCATCGATTGTGTCATTGCTTCTCAATCAGCTCCCAATCTAGACACGCAACCGCAAGTTCAATACCCACAACCTATCAGCCTAGGAAAACACTACCACAGACACCTAACGTACCAGCTGAAGTGAAGTCGTAACCAAATTCGTCACTGTGTCTGTGAGAACATTCTGAAATGCTAGTGACCGACCCACACCCCGAAAGAATAACGAGTCACTACAGACTCAGCAACGCAGGACAACTCAATCATCAACACCTACCAACTTCAGTTTGATGTCGGAACAAAACTCAAAACTTTTGCAGAACACCATACGACCAGAACCCTGTCGAACATTCACTATTCAAACTCGCGGATCTTTCTCAACTCTCCAGGTTGGTCCATAAAGATGGATTTGAGAGAACACGTCAGAGATTGGGAAACGAGTCGTCTTCGGTTACCGACGAGCTTCTCTTCTCAACTCCTTCGGTATCAGTATCCGTAAGGCGAGATAATACGCAGGCTCGCACCCACAGATCCCCACATTCGTGGCAAACTTGCGTGACAGTACTTGAGAAACTACTCCTATCTGCACAAGAATCTGCCAGAACCTATCCACGTCTACAGATACTGTCAAACGTGAACGAGCTTTGCAGGAGAAGTCGAAGAAGAGGAAAAAGAGCGGATCGTAACAGGTGACATATGGCGATGACCTCTATCCATTGGATCAATGAATGGAACATCGACCGATGGCTGCCATTTCATCACATTGCACTGTTTTTGTCGGCTTCGGAGGCATATCCCCAACTAAGCGTGGAACCCGCTAGTGCATTTAGCGCATGCAATTTGGGCTCGCACCTCATTTGCGAGTTGGGAGGATATTCCTTGGCTGCAAGCTCCTTTCCGGACAACGAGTTTTGCACCTGTCGAGATACTATGGTCTAAATTTATCGCTCCTTCGTCCGAAGAAAGGTCAGTGCAGCGGTGCAGATGTGAGGTCATGCAAGTTCGGATAGAGGTGGAATGGCAAGCACCCACCCTGATCACCATTTCGTGTGCACGAGTGAGTTTCGAACACAACACATTTCTTCCTCTAACGTGAGGTTTTCGATGCGCTCGGGTTGCCCGCATCCGGACACTAGATCAGGAGTATTGGATCCTGCCCTTACTCGGTGACTGCATCTGGAGCAGTTTCTCTTGCTCTGGGTCTCTGGCTGCACCGAGATGCGCAGAAGACATAGATGGGGTGTTGTGCTCCGTCCTCTCCGAAGTTCGATATTGAGTCACCTCTCATTGAACTCATGGATGAAGGTTTTGGATCAAGGAAACCTTCATGGTTGAGGTCAACGAGGATTAACTTCGGTGCAACAATCGAAGTGTGGTGCTAAATAAGCAAGAATGAAGGAAACATGAGAATTGTGATGTGTTTAGGAGGAAGGAAGGGTTATTATTTTTTGTTTATGTAATTCTATGGTTGTGGTGATTTGATTCATCAATATGGCACAAAGTCATCATGTTAATTATAAGAGTGGATAGAAAAGTGTACAATCATGTAAATCTATTTTTGTCTGTTTTATTTTTAACAGTGCCTCCAAGCCATTGGTGTGATAAAAAAAATGTAAAATCTATATTGAATATATTTCTTTTCTGTTGTTGTAATGCCTTGGTTGGCTTGTAGTGTACAGATAGACAACTTCTTCCTGAATATATTTCTTAAGGTATTACCCATCTTGCTCTAACTACTTCAATTTTTGACTAGTTATGTTTGTTTCATCAAGAAAGTCAATGCTTTGTTGAGATAAGGAAAGAATAGTATAGTTCTTTGTAGCCTTGTTCTAATGCCTAATTAGAGTCTTTTTAATCAATTTCTTTTGCATAAAATCTGTTTTATTAGCATTTTGTTATTGCTTGTAATTTTGGTTTATTTTGGTTTATTATAGATTTATTTGTCTTTGAACTTTTTTTTTTAATATCATAGTTGTATTTGTAATATTTTATCATTTTAGTATCTATTATTTTTTTTGGATTTGATGTTGTTGTGTATAATATTTTTGCATTCAGTTTTTTATTTTTTTATTTTTTTACTCATAAATAGAACATAAATATTGCAGATTTGATTGTTAGTTTGTCACTTGATGTTATAATTCTTATTTATTAAATTTTGGATCTAAATTTTAAATTTAAAACTTTCTAATATAAATTAAAAATTTCAAATCTTGGTATTTAATTTTTAACTTAACTTTTCAACTTATATATGCTATACATCAAAACTTGAAATCTCAAGCATTTTTGTATCTTAATTAGTATATTAAAACTTGATTTCTTTATGTTTGAAATGGTATTTTCAAATACAAATTTTTTATTATCAATTTTTATATTGTGCAATATCATACACACATGAATAGTATTTAAAACTTTGTTTATATTCTCCTACTGACAAACAATGAACAAATCTTAGATCTATTAATTTCTATTACTTTCATATTAGTTTGTGCAATCTATCATAGACCCGAAATACAAAAACTTGCAACATACCAGAGTGCAAGGTAGGTTGTTTTAAACAGTAGCAACTTGGAAAAAAATGCCCTTCATGACTTTTCTTTGCATTCCATAGCATATCTTTTTACAATATTATGAATATAGATGAATTTATTAAAAAAAAAAAAAAAAAAAAAAAAAAACTTTGGTTCAAATGAAAGAACCAACAAATAGGGTGCCTCATTTATGCGATAGATAAGATTCAACTAATATATATATATATATATATATATATATATGTAATTCTATTTCTAATAAGATAAAAAAATATATTAGTTCAATAATACAAAACAAACATATATACATTGTAAGAATTTCCTTCATGTATATAAGAAATATTACCATTTGTTTATAATTTGTTGGGATAAGTGTGAGTTATGAGAAAATGCAATATTTTATTGTGTAGTACATTGATTTTGGCATTGAAAGACTACTGCATATGGTATACATATGATATTTATTGCTTTGCTGTATTGTCGTACTGATAAAAAAAAAAAAAAAAAAAAAAAAAAAAAAAGTATTCATAATTTTAGCTTTCAAGTATTCTGTGTGGTTGATAGCTTTAGGAAATGGAAATCTATAATTAATTAGTTCAAGCACATAGAGGCAAGTATGAAGTTAAAAAGCTACCTTATTCTTCAAGTGGAATTATGTGGGTGCCACAAGCTACCTTAAAGCCAGATATTGACTTTGTAGAAGCCAGATCCACACACATAAATTCACATGATCTTATTAAACTTAAGTTACAAAAAATGGATGTTGAGTCCCTAAATGAAGGCACTGAGATGCACTTTGTATAAAGACGACATAGCACAAAGCATGTCAATCATACACTTGACCAAGAATAATATTTAATCAATTGCAAAGATATTACGCACAAGTGTATTTGCATGAAGCCTACTAAAGTCCAAAAACAAATCAATGGATATGATCATATTTAGGCTTGAAATTTCTTAGTTGTCTATATTGTTCTTTGCTAGATATGGCTAAATACAATAAAATAATATAGCATTACACCAACATATCATGCATTTGAAAAAAACATAATGTAATAAGTGCATTATATTGATAATTGTCTTTAATCGGTTTTAAAGAGCAAAAAAGGTGAGTTGAGTTGTCTATCAATAAATCAATGGACATTTGACTTGCCAAAGGGGATCATTAAGTCTTTTTATGACTTCCTATAGAAGGTTACTTTCCTATTTAAGAGAAAGTTTGAAACCATTTTAATTTCTTTTTACCACTTGAAAGTGAAGTTGGAGGGGGATTTGGAGCTTATGAAGGTCAAGCTTAAAAGATAAGGCTAGTTTGTTGGACTATTTTTTATTTAAATTAATATAACTTATATATTTTAATACATTTAATTTTGTTATATATTTCTTGAGCTTGTAGTTGTTATGTATAAAAGCATATAATTGCTATAGATGAAAATTTGATATCATCATCTGTATGGAACTTTTGTAAACAATGTCTAATATTTAAGTGTTATACCATTTAAGAAATGTTACTTAAAAATGAAGAACATGATCATAATTAGATTTTACTAAATCAAGGATGAAAAAAAATTGTGCAAGTCCAAGAATTAATTTTAAAAATCAAGTTTGAACCTCAAAATCACACCAAAACTATGATTTGACAAATTTTTTTGATATGAATTCTATTTTTATTAATTTTGAAAATTTTGAAAATTTCATAAGATCTATTTTTATATTATGATGATTAATATTCTTAAAATTTTGACTATAATTTTCTTCTATAGAGAATGAATTTTTAAAGATTTATCATTGATTTCAATTAGAATCTTAAGTTAATAAATCTTAAGTTAGTAAATCTTAAAACACAATCAAAAGATGAGATTAAGGTAGAATTGAAAGAAACTCATGGTGGTAAAGATGGTAGATTTTACAAAATTGGGAGATGGTCTTTGGCAAAGATCCTATTCATGTGTCATTATAAGAGGGTAGAATTTGAGAAATATGGGCCAACTAAATCACAATATGTACAAAGTGGTGGAAAGTCATGGCGATGATTTGTGGAAAATGGATATATATAGAAACCAAAAAAAAATCAAGATAATTTAAAGTGATTATTACTATATTTCAAGAAAGTACATGATTATAAAAAATAAATATCCTTTGGTTAATTGAATTATTTTTCTTTGAGTCTATTAGACAAAAGAAATCATCTAAGAAGATTTCCAAAGGTGTCACTAGATTAAACTATCTACTTAAGAATACTAGAGTAGTTCCTAAAACTCTGCAAGTTGTGGATATTATAGGCTTTTTTGTTAATAGTGGAACAATGGCACCTTTGATTGATATATTTTTAAAAATCTTAATTTATTTTTGGATACTATATATAAATATTACATATTAAGATATTTTAAAACTTGTTGTATAAATTAAATGCAAATATGTTTTAGCATTCTAATACTTAGAAAAGATATGTTTATAAATTACAAATGGTGGAAAATTATCTATTGGTTATTCTACCAAAAAATATTGCTTATCAATGAAGATTGTAGATGGTGCATTAGATTCTATGGATAAGTCTACATTGGGATTTTTTCAAGCCATAAGTATTAGACATGATGGAGAAGTTAATTGTCACAAAGAAATTATGGACTTAGAGAAGAAAAAAATTATAGTTATAGAAATTTTGCCATCTTAATATGATAAAACTTGAATGTAAAAAAAAACATAGTACCATTGCCATGGAATATGGTTATGTAAATGTTCTTTTTAGCTTGAGTGATGCTATAAAAAAAATTAAATTCCCTTCTAAATAAACAATATTTTGAATCAACATCTATGACTTACTCATTTTAAGCATGTTCTATTATATAATAATAATAATAATAATAAAATGATCATTAAAAAATTAATGTCATTTTATATACAATTATTTGATTAATTTTTCTCTTATTTTATTTATTTTTTGATAATCTTAATGGTTGATTGTCATAAAATTTATATTTATTTTATTATAATTATTATCTTTATTTGTGAAAGTCATACAATATTGACAATCCCAATATTAGAGTTGTAATTACTGCTATAAGAGTAGCAACAATATCAATTAAGACAATAGTACAATTGACAACTCATGGAATTTTTAAAATGAGTCAAACAAGCAGAATACCAATAGTATCAACTTTGAAAATTTCAAAACACAAAAAGAGAGTTGAAGAAATTTTTTCTATCATTCATTTAGTAATGAAATGTAAACAAGTATTTCAAGAAGAATTTTTTTACAAACTTAGAAAGAAGAATATATTTAGATCAAAGTGTGGTCTTTATTATATCAAGCCCCATACAATTCACTAGTCGGAATAATTCTCAACTTTGGTGATGCAAGAAGATCATGAATGCTTTTGTTACTTTTTTAAACTTTTTTTTTAACATTTTTATATATTTTTTATTTAGTACATGAAGAATTGAAGAAGATTTATTTTTTAAACTGATTAATATTATAGAACAATTGATTAATGTGTCAAAATAAGTTAATATTACATTAAAAAGGCTTAGAACTAAAGACACTCATGTCTTTGTGATTGAACTTTTTGGTGTAGATGACTCAACAAGCCTAAAAGTTTGTAAGAAATTTATTATTGCTTCAATTAATGTTGATTTGCCTTTATATTTAAAATAGCCAAGAAAAGAAGTCTTATCAAAAGTAAAACTTGGGTTTAAAAATATTCATGGCATACCATAATATTGTGGTGTTCTTAATTATTCTCACATCCAATTTGATCTACTTAAAAGATCCAATTCAATAGATTGATATGATCTTGATTATAACTATTCTATAATAGTTCATGCCATTATAGATAACAAAGCCCAATTTATAGATGTTTTTGTCAGCATCTCCGGATCAATACATAATTCTAATATACTTTTAATATTAAGTCACTTCAAAGATGTAATTGTATCAAGATGGTTCAAGGAGAAAATAATAGAAATTGAAGTTGTTGATATTAGTGAGTTGACTATAGCTGATGCATGATATATTGGTGATAAGAACTTATTTGTGACTTAGCTTAGAGTTCAACTTCTTAGACTATATAATGAATTTAATTTTAAGGAGTCATCAATATGTATGATAATTGAGCATTCATTTAGAATTTTGAAAGGAATGTGCAAAATTTTGAAAAATCCTTTCACAAATTGTGATTTAAAAAGGGTTCCTAGCTTAATATTGGCATGTTGTTTGCTTCATAATAATATCATTGACAAAAATGATCTCATTCATGAATTAATTATTCTTTGGAGACATCTCAACTTGGAATATAGGCATGAAGTAGTGAAAAATATATCTCAAAGTAATAGTCAACCATTGCAAAATTGCAAGACATTCGTATTAATTAGAATCAATGTGCTTCAATGAACAAAATTTGAAAGCTATTTTATCACATGATAATTTTTAATTCAAATATCACATGTGTTTTTATGATCATTAATTAAAAAGACATTATAGAATATCTAGAAAATCATCCCTTAAAGATATTATTATTCTCAATATGGTTATTTCAAAGAATTGATCTATTTTATGAATTTTATATACATTGTTCATAGAAATAAATCATAAACAATAGCTTAGGTTATTCAATCTTAAAGAATATCTTATTAGGTTTCCAAAATGATCAAAATCAATGAAATAAAAAATTAAAATTAAAAAAATAAAAATCCATGTAATAAAGATATCTCAAATCAAAGTTTTGGTGTAATTTAGAGGTTCAAGCTTCATTTTTTAAATTAATCCATGGATTTGCAAGTTTTTATTCAAAGTTTTTATTTTTATTTATTCATTTATTTTTCATCCTCAATTGAAACAAACCTCATTTTGATGACTTTCTTTATTATTCAATGCCATTTCTAAAATGGTATTGCACTTAAAGATTAGATGATTTTTGCAAAAGTCATGTGTGGATAAAGTTTTAAATTTTCATCTATAATTCATGAATTTTTTTATACTGAACAACTACAAGCTATTAAGGTATTTCGCCTCCTTGTACATGGAAGTGCAAATTTTGAAAATGAGTGGCCTTTGCCTTACAAAGATCACCACATGCAGGCAAAGTCCAAGATTAACTTTGCCCACCAATCAAGCATGAAAGCAAGGTCTTAAGGTTCCATTCCATATTTAATCGATGAGCAAAATTGAAATTAATCTATGAAATCCTCCAATTTTTTGACACAAGTTTTAACAATGGAGCCAACAACTTATCCTTAACCGATTTCAAGGAGTGGAAAAGATAGGTGGAGCAATCTACCAATATGTTGGTGAACATTTGACTTACAATAGGAAGTTATTATGTCTTTTTATGACCTATGAAGGATCACATGCCTATTTACTAGAAAGATCTTTTTATAACCTCCTATGAAAGATCACTTGCCTATTTACTAGAAAGATCTGTTTATGACCTCTGAAAGATCATATGGTCCTTCACTCCCCTACACATGGAAGTGCAAATTTTGAAAATGGGTGAACTTTACCTTACAGGGATTACATCATTAGGTGCAGACAAAGTCCAAGAATAACACTGCCGACCCTTTGGGCATGGAAGGAGCCCTTAGTGCCTATTCAGCTGATAAGACAATACAACTAATGAAAGCTGAAACCAAAGACACCCCACTGATAAGCGAGTTCTGAGATGCTCAGAAGCTGCTGGACGGAACCAAACACGAAGCCTGCAGCGCCTCTTTCATCCAAACAGGCAACTGTTGCCAGAACACTCTATACAACCAACACAAATCCGCAAGATGGCTAGCTAAGAAAAGCAGCCAAGAAACATATGGGGGTGTCTAAAGAATGTAGAGAGAGAGAGAGAGAGAGAGAGAAGTTACGAGAAACCAATATAATATCTCAAGTATTTGAACAGTAGAAACCCAGTGTTTTCTTTTTAAGGCAGAACAATGTCCTGAAAGGCGGCATGTACAGAAAGATCACCAGAAGCCAGTTCAGACAGGTAATCATGGGTGGTCCTCCAAGAAACCTCAATGAAAGCATCAGACGTTAAAAATAAGAGGAACAAAGAGTACGTAAGCTGATTCAGAAGATAAAAAGCATTTTAGAAATGCAAGAGGAGACCTACTTCCTACATCCGAACTTGGACGATGGTCACGTACAATCGGTGGCTTGAATGATGGCACGCCGTCTTCTAAATTGTAGTATGACATACCTCAGGTTTCAGTGAGCTGGCTTGTCTCGACACAAGCACAGCTCAACAGCACTCTTGCAAATCGCCATAGCAGAACAGCGGAGGCACAACTTTAAGTCAGAACACCAGATAATTGCTTTAGTCCGCTTTAGGAACATCTCCTCCAGTCATGCTCGTCTCCACCACATTCTCCTTCAAAAATCTGCATAAGTCACGAATAAAATCAGACTTCTTCATCGGCATCTGGCAACTATTTGTTGATGCAAACTGCAAATGAATATGGAAAGGGAACAATGGTCAAACCTGGCTAACTTGTCCTTCGATGTTTGGAGGATGTAGAGCGCAGTAATTACGAATAATATATTTCCTGAATACCAATCATTTCGTTGTGAACGATTTAGAACCAGTAGTTTACAATACTGCGCTCATTCTAAGCACAATGCAACCATTCACAATGTGGAAAAATCAAACGACCAATGCTAATACAGGACAAGCATACTCACCAGATAAGAAGAGAACAAAGAGACCCCCGACAACATCAATCTCTGACTTCTCCACCCTGCAAAATTGAAATCAGCCTTTCAGAGCAAATTGCAAAAGGATGAGAAAGCCCTACAGGCAGAATCAAGTGTGAGAGTTCTAATACAAAAGAGCGTCAACATACCATGTATATTGCACAAGGATATGCTTGGGCCAATCCGCAGGATCTTCAAACTTCTGCCGGATAGACGCATGTTCTGTCAAATCTACAAAAACCCAAAAACGGTAAAGTTCTTAAATTATATTTCAAAATTGCCCTTTCAAAGTCTCAGGCTAATATAAATTCACAGTTCACCTCAAAAAAAAAAAAAAAAAAAAAAAAAAAAAAAAAATCTCGTCTCACACTTGCTTCGGATGTGCTGAGTGGACTAACATAGTATAACTACAGAACGCTGCGCTGATGCTAAGTATAGTGTGATTTCATCAACATTAACACTCTACTAAAACTCCAATCGATTGGAAATAAATGGATGAATCAATTACACATGCAAAAATCCCCACAAAAACTCACACTTCTCCGGCATGGGTACAACTTTTGTAGTCACTCCTTCTAAGTCTCCCCCTGAGTGTCTCTGCAAAAACATTGCGCACATAAATCATAGAATTCCTAACTCGAACTACCAAATATTATACATGTATACAACTGCAGATTGAGAAGATGAAAATAAAATCCACAACAAATCAGGCCAGATGCAATACAAATTAATAATGGATCAACCAACTAGAAACTCACCAGAGTAACTTCAAGCATAGGAACTTGTTTGCGTCCAATCATCAACAGCCAAGGCGTAAGATATTTCTCTCTACCAAATTGAAAGGATCTGGGAAAAATTAACGGAATTGTCAATAATTCAAAACCTTGAGACAGGAGAGCAAGGGTACAAAGTCAAAGCCACCCAACATCTGAAAAAATTAAGCAAGGAACAAGTGATATGATCCACTTTGACTTGCATCCGTTCATTACAATTCCCACTGCTGAATACAACATATTTACACGTGAGCGCTCACATTTTGTAGTTCTCGGACTCAGTAAAACCTACAGGCTTCGGAAGAGGCATGACAACCTGTTGATGACACCATATGATCAGTTCGGAACACGTGTGGGGTCCCAGCCTTAGACTACAAGGTCAGAATTCAAGAAATTAATCCGGAACAAAATTCTGAACGTATTCAATCTAGAATCAGTATCACAACATTAAACCGAAAGTAAAATCAAATAAAACTAATCATCATCAACATCTATATGCTAGTATGGATATAACCTCTGTATCAACACCAAAATGAGGGCAATGCCGGCCAAGCTGGTCCATCCACGATGTAGTTTGCTGTTGTTGAATACAAAGCCATGATATAACTCTGTTAGTATAAACCAAGACCAACAACCTTCCAAGCAGCGATAAAGTCGATCAAGATCCTCACATATAATGAGAAGCCTAAACGTGAAGGACTTCTGTCTGATACCAAAGGGCACACACTTCAGAACACTGGAGTCCAAGAAGCTCAAACATAAAAGCTCACACAAGACATACCAATCCCCATTCATTATTAATGGCGAGAATCACAATTGCCAATGTGTTCTTACGACCGGCAATATGGATACGATTTGGCAAAAGTGTTATCAAGAACTCCCTCAAATCCCTAATCTAGATCCACAAGCTGACCGATCTACAGCAAACGGACACATCTAAAATCCCCTTATCATGATTCGAGCCATACATCACTCAGCCTCGATTTCACGGCATTTGTAAATGCCCCAATTACTACAAGGTCGATACGCCTGCTTACCTAGCTCACGACACACAATTTCAAAACCCACAGAACATGAGAAGTATGTGGAAAGTAGGAAGCAGGGATTCAAGGCTCGGATAAACTTACGCCGTGGAATTGGCCTCTTCGAGCGACGGGGACTGGATCACCCGTTTGATACGCAAGTGCGAAATCATCCCCTGTTGACAATATCCCCAGCAAGAGCAAAATCAGCACGCTGAAAGTCCGGGACACGTCCATCTTGAGCTTCCAGCAGCTCAAAATCATCCCCAACGCAAGCACGATGCGCGGGGAAGCTTACAAAATCACAACATGCACTCAATTCATGGCACATCCGCCTCGGAGCAAGCGACACAAGCGAGCGACCATCGAAGCTCCGGTTGCTCGATGACCAAACCCTAGTCCTCTTGTCGCCTTTTACTTTATTGGTCACTTTGTTTGACTTGGTTTTGGGCAGACAGTCCAAATTTTCATCCATCTATTCATCATCGTCTTGCGTTTTCTTCTCGTTCATCCAAGTTCAGTCCCTCATTCTGTTGAACCACAAACACTCGCAACCTTTTATCGTTTTTATTGTGATTCTATTCCATTCTCTTTCATTCCTCAATTTATTGTAGACAAGTAAAAATTAGTTAATTAATTAATGGATTCAAAATTGGAAAATTATATTCTATTGAAATGCCTATTTTTAAAATATAATAAAAACTATTAAGGTCACTAAGGGAGCACAATAGTAATGCACTATATTTATTTGTGAGATTATTCAGCATTTTTTTAATTCTAAGAATATTTTATAGAAAATACTAGATTTTATTCTTGTATATGAATATTTTAAATATTTTAATTTTACTTTTAATAGCTGTTTTTTTACAGAAACATAAATAAACTTGTTAGTTATTATTTGGAATATGAAATAGCATTTTATAATTTAAACACTAGTTTTACCTAAGATTATTACTTCTGTCATCATTGGTATTTTAATCATAGACAAATCACTATCGATGTTTCAGATATCTTGCATTGTTTTAGTCGTAAATTTGTTTTACATTGAAGGCATTTCAATTTTAACAAAGAGACAAAATTCTATTTATTTATTTATTTATTTATTTATTTATTTTTGAATTTCAACATATTGATTGAAATCTCCGAAGGTGGGTGTGTCTAGGAGAGTTCTCTGTAGACGATCTGCTACATCTCTGTACAAATCGGTGTAGTTGTTACGAGAAGGTGTGCGAGTGCATTGTATCATGTTGTTGAAAGTGGTCGATAACTCTTGATGATTTAAGGACCAGCATTTCTTCATGAACAATTGTTCTCAGTAAGTCTGATGAGTGCTAGAATATGTTGGTAATCTGGTTCAGAATGCGGAGCTTTTCACATGGACACATGGAGCCATTGTGCGTCAACTCCTCACTAACTATGAAGAGATTGATGAGGTTAACAAGCAGCTTGACACCATGTAAGATTTCTACCATATACTTGAGCTTGCTACACATTGTCGTTTTTAACTGTAGATAAGGCAGCTGCAAGGGTTTTCTGTGAATGGCGGTTTGAGTGTAGTGAAACTCGAATTTTCAGGTCTCAGAGTCACAGTGTTATGTGCCCGACATTGATATCTTTGCAGGGGCTACAACATTGGTGCTCGTCTTGTAGATGATTTCTTGGTGAAAGCAAACATCACAAAGTGTACAAACTTCAGAGAGACTGCAGAAGTCATTTCTAAGGTATCGTGAGGTTTATTATTTGGGTTCAGGATTAAGGGAATGGTCAATATCTCAAAAAACATGAATTATGAAGCTTAGAGGTTTCTTTGTGAGGCCTCTAATTGCTTGTTATGAGTTTGTTGTGCTTCATAAAAAAACCATGGTTTGTGTAAGCCTTATTCTTACCTGTTGTGTTTGTTCCAGGGCATCCAATTACCAAAGAAAACGCAAATGCAACTGGCCTTGCACAACCCAAAAAAGAAAGGTACTAGCAGTCTTAATTTGATGTTGCTAAAGGTTGTCATTCATGTGTCTAGTGCAGAGTCTGAGACTGCAGAATCAAGGTGGATTTTATGATGTTTTTATGATCTAAAAACAAATTATTAAACTACAATGTCTCAAAGTATTAATCTCTCCAACTGTAACCATACATTTTGTCATCATAAACAAGGTTTAAGTCATGTTTTGTGACAAGCTTTGATGTCTTAATGAGGCACATCAATGCCCTTTCTTTATCAAGTTCTCTAAATGGAACTAGTGACAATGGGGCATGGAGGGTTCGGATGGGGGAAGGGGCACTGGGGGTTGAAGGAGGGGGGATGGGAATATGCAATGATATTCTAGATAGGTAGGTTGATTTAATAAATACCTAGGTCGCTTTAGTATTCCCCTATATTTTAATATCTTTTGATTTAACCATTTTATATTTGAATCAAGCATAAAAGCTATGATTGCTTGTATTCTATGCCCTCACATTGTAAGAAAACAATTGGCATTATTAGATTTTGTTATAGCAAATAATGTTTATATTTGATAATACTATTTTTATAAATTTTGAGCTTTTAAAAATATTTAAAATTATTCTTGATAAAATTTTGTCATAAAATTGGTCTTTGTTTTTTTTGTTGTTTATAGATATTTATTATTTTTAAAAGGAAATGTAATATTATCCTAAAAAATAAGATTTATTGGTATATATTTTATATTTTTTAATTTTTTAAAGAAAAAATTGAATTCAAAAATATATTATATTTATTTTAATTAAAATTTCAAATATATATATATATATATATATATATATTTATATTTAATCAATAAATTTTACTTTTTTATCTTTACATATATATTATAAAGGTGGATCTTTACTAATTTAGATATTTTATAATTTTTTAGCTATCTTTAAATATATAATTGATGGTTTATAAAATTAAATAGTTAGATTTTGTATAGTTTTAATTTGTACCATTTGTCTATGTTGTTAAAATATATTATGAGAGTTTTAATGTTAATAAATATTGAAAGAATTTTATTTTTATAGTATAGTTGTTAGTATAATTTTAAATTATGAAATTTAATGATGTTGGATAGTTTTTAATATATATATATATATATATATATATATATACAAATCAAGAATAATCAAGAATAATCAAGAATATAGAATTAAATTAGAGCAAGTAAAAGTATATTGAAGAATATAGAAATAAATTATACATAGAATTCATGTTTTATTATATTTCTTAAGAAATATTGTAAAAACTTCTAAGACATAGATTAAATTTATAAGTAACTTTAGATTTTTCATATAGTTATGAATGAATTTGATAGAATATTTTTAGACTAAGTGAGCTATTACAATAGTATTCTACTAATTTTACACTTGATTCTATATGACCTTTACAAGTATTAATATATAGAGAGAATAATAAATTTATCTTCAATTGTATTAATACTTATCTTATATTCTAATATTTGTTGAAGATTTTATAGTTTTTTTGTACTTAAAAGTACTCATTTTCATAATTTGTTAGTTCAAAATTATTTCATTTCTTTATTGTCTTCTTTTCTTAGTTTTATATAAGACATTTTTTTTTTTTTTTTTTTTTTTTTTTTTTTTTTTTTTTATCAAGTTTATAAAATACTTATAGTTGATAATTTCATATTGTGAAACAATTCATACTTTACATAAATTCTTTGATAAAACTATTTGGTCTTGACATATTCAATAATATTGTTGAGGATTAAAATAAACTGACTTAAGCAATAAAATTATTAATAATGTTACATATCTATACTATTATATTATAGAGTATTAAATTTTAAGAATATAAATTATTATTTCACTTTGGTTAATTTATTTTCAAATCTATATATTTATATATCATAAATAGAAATAAATTTTATACAACAATAAATATAATCATAGGAAATTTTAAGATATAAAGATATAAAAGTCACTTTACAATAAAGACGTAACAATTATAATTAAAAGATATTATCTTTCTACCAAAGTAATTATACATCAAAATATATAGTCTTTTTAAAATAAATAAAAATACATATATATATTATATTAATTAGATTTTAACAATAAAAAATTAATTAATATATTTTTAAAAGGTAAAAAATATATTAATTTTTTCCTACCCAAATATATTCTTCTAATAAATATCTCTTTGAAATTCTACATTATTCCAAGAGCTTAGAATCTCCTTTTTCTTACTTTCTTGCAAATTCTAAATTTTATTGTCACAGAAGGATAACTTTAGAAGTAAATAAATCATGTAGGATTTTAATCATATCCATTTATTTTTTTATTTTCAGCTTTTTTAATCAAATTGATTAATGATGTTAATAAAATAGCCAATAATAGGATCTAAAGCCTAAAAAATAATTATAAAGTTCTTTAAAAGATACTATATTGTTATTATTTTTATATTTGATTTTAAATAAAATTTTGATAAAGTATATCTTCATATATAAAATAAGAAATCTAAATATATTTATATTTTAAAAAACCAACATTCATACTTATAAATCTACAATGCTACTGAACACACCGTATTAAATATGTTTATAATTGTTCTAAAATTGACCATACAAAAGTCATTGAATGAACTAAAAACTTTAGTTAGGCTACATTTATTCTACTTATACTAATTTGATTCTTATCTTCGCTGCTTCACCCCCTAGTTTTCCCATACAAGCGTGCCTCACTCCTTGACATTACCGCCGTTATTGATGCCCTGTGACTGTCAAGAGATTTGAGTGGACTTCGCTGTGGGGTCCTGTTTCCTCACTACGATCCAAGCAATAATTGCAACTAGGATCGTTGCGGCAAGGAGCCTCTGCCTAGTATGCGTTGCAGTGAACTCCACAGTGACAAAATCCCACGGAGGGGTGTAGAGCTTCGCTGGGCCCAACCATGGCGTGCTCCATCATCAGATCTGCCAACACAGCTGCAAGAGTGTGCAGTGTGTTGACACACATGTGCTGAGAGGTTTCCAGGAGCCTTGAAGTTTGTTACTCTGAGAATGCTTGGGATGTATGAGTGATCTAGTGTAACTGAAAGTGCAAGGAAAGGAGCTTCACCATCAAGTGTTCATTGAGCAAGTTGAACTATGAATAGCTATCGTGGGTAAGAAATCCAGCAGTTGATCAGTGGTTGTAATCATCCATTTGATGAAGTAGGGTACCACTGATTCATTTACTGTATGGACGTCAATACATGTTTTTTTGAATCTAATACTCCGTAGTCACAACGCGTGTGAATAACTACCCTGAAGAGATGCTCGAGTTTGAATTCAGGTGATGTTGGAATGCTTCTGTAAGGATTTTACATGCACGACAAGGGTAAGTGCAAGTGGCTTAACAAATTTGTGATGTTCTCGTCGCTGTGCATCTGGCGACTTTGATTCCATTCCTTGAAACATCTGCTACTTCGAAACATGTGGTTTTAAATCAACGCATGAAAAATTTTCGTCTCACACCTTGCTTTTTGTCTCGGTCGAAGGATCAATGGCCGAAACGCTTCATGAAACAGCAGGTGCGGGTCCAAGCTAAATGTAACAATCGATTATGAAACTTTTTCCTCCACACGCTAGGGTTTAATGTTGTATAGTGCTGAGGTTGAGCTGTAAAGGTTGAGAGGCTTCGTCGTAATTCACTGTTGACGTCGCTGTTGACGATGGGGTGGAAGGTAGTGTGTTTTGTCTGAGATAGCAAATGTGAAAGCCGCCATTGGTAATTTGAAGCTGTGGACCTCAAGACTTGAAGAAACATATCATGAATGCGATCACAATCACAGGATGCGTGATATTGCAAAAATGCACCATGCGCGCATTGGCAGTAAGTCGTTCATCGGCCAATGGACATCCACATGCGAATTACGAAAGGCTCAAGTTGATAAGTCCTTTCAAACACCAACCCACTGTGCGGACACTTACAAGCCAAATGCTAAGGAAAAGGAAGCATCGCAAAAAGCAGGGTGAACAAAGCGGTTCACCACATGTCGAAATCTCGGAGGTAATTGTCTCCGAGGAAATCTCCCACCTCAGCTACACCCAGCTTCGCAGATTGGAAATAATAAATTTCTATACAAGACTATGGTTTTTGAGAAAGATTGTGACAATGGAGTTGGGCTATATTGGCTTGCAGCGAAGTCGTCGATGGCTGCAGCGAAGGCTCTGTTACATTGTGGTCCAGTTTCAGCAGGAGTAGCATTCCATGGACTGACAACTTGGCGAAGCTGAGTATTTCCCACAACGATGACTTTTTCAAGTAGCTGCACAGCTTTCGGAGTGAAATCTCTTTAAGCTCCGTCATCAATCTCGTCCTCATTGTGCACAATTGTCTTGAACCAGAGTTCCAATTCGGGTGGTGGTCAGGTGGGGCTATCCAAATCGGGATTGTGCCAAGGATTTCCAAAGGATCGAAGACCACTATTCCTGAGCCTACAAGTCGAGTTTGGAGGTTTGGGAGTCAAAGACATCATGCACAGCCCTAAAACAGACGACGAGAAAGAGCTTTTACAGAAGTACGCATGGATGTCAGCCGATGGACAAGAGCAGATGAGCATCGTTTGAAACTCGACCTCAAATCCAGCGAATTGAACATCTGCGTAATTTCATGCATTTACAGCCGCCCGTCAAGGTCGGTGTCCACGTAGCACGTTTTGTCGATAGTACTCTCGAATATGGTAATGGAACTCACTTTCTTTTTATGGTGGTTTGAGTGTCGATTGGCACCGAGATGATGGTTAGCCGTACCTGATGGGTGCAAGAATTTTAGGACTCTGTGCAGATTTGTCGACACGTTGCAGATGGTAGATGTAGCGCTCACCCCTTAACACCTCGTCCCGCGAAATAGCAACCTGAAATGCAATGTTGACGCGGCAGTGACATCCCGAATAAATTGATTACCCGCAAGGATGATCACCTCTGAGACATTGGTTACATCACAAAAGAAGACGATTCTTCTGAGGAGCTACGGTGGCATAGAATCGATACAGCGCGAACAATCTGTCCAAAGCCAATTCGACACCACATCCTCTTAGACTCAGAGTCGTCGGGTCGTCTTCGTTGACTGCTTTGACCCCTCTTCAACCCATTACCTCGAGTCAAATACTGATGGATGGGACAATACGACTGCCACTTGCAACTTGCAATGATGATGCTATTATGAACATTGGCACTATCCATGACTGATTAGTTTATTCAACTTATGTCCCGAGGTCCATTTCTTGGACTTTTTCAATCTATCTTGGAATCTTGTGATCCATAGACGTGTGTTCGCAGCAGCCCTCGCAAGCTTCGAATGTTGTGTTTACTTTACAAGGCACTTTTTTGACACGAGGATCGTACGTAGTCACTCTTCTATCTAAGCTTCGAGATGAGGCATTCTGCGATCATGATTGTGCTTCACCAACGACGAGGCGTGAATGTAACTCGCCCGATTCCCGGTTTTAACGGTGGAGCTCGTCTGACCCTACAGATTCCGTGAATAGTGGATCTCCCAAAAATGGGTGGTGGTACCAATTACGGAGGGCCTTGACACGCGGCCACCGATGAAGATGAGCGCCAGCGTTTGCAGGGAAAGTTTATAACAACAAGCCAAGATTCAGTAACTCAACTTCGAGGCTTGCCGATTAGAGCTTCTTCTCAATCACTGCCCTCTATTAGTGGCCACTTCTCACATAATTGTCTTCACTTTATTGACAGAATTTTAATTACAAAATGCACTTCCTGCCGTTCCAGCTCTTATGCTAGCCGTGAGTTAACTCGAGGTTTACAATTCCTTACTAATGTTTTAGTACTCATCGCAGTGTTCAATAACATGTTTCTAGTTTTCTTATCTTTAAACCCACCCTCAGTTATAATGGATAGTAACAAATTTTTGGTGGCCTCTCCTTGAGGTCCATAGCAGTCAAAGGTATGTCAACTGAATGCCTGAGCTCCGGGTTCTCTATCACATCTCCAGTGTGAGTCGTTCTTTATTCTGGGGCAATGTGTTGTAACAGCTACATTTGTGTGGTCTGCATAATTCTGTCCACATTCGTCGCATTAAAGGAGAACTCTTTGAAAACCGGCAACATAATGTTCCGAGTTCCTGGACGAGTGCGATCTTATATTGACTTTTGTTTCTGTTGAACATAGTACATTTCTTTTCATTTCTTTTTTCTAATATTTAAATATTATGTACCATACTTGTTCCATCTAATATGCGGAATGCATCGTAGCCATCTAGAGCACAGTGGTTTGAAGAATCCAGCATAAGCTGGAAGTTAATTATCATCGAAGTCTGTTGATATCTCTCTCATCTAGTGTGCAAAGGTCAAGTTTGTGCCTTCTTAGTGCAATCTTACCCGATGGAAATGCACTGCTGATTCAGCACAAAGGCATCAACCTCACTTAATGGATCCACACGCATAGAAAAACTGTTTCGTTGAACCTGTGACTGGAATCCCAGGTAGTCGGGCTTGTTGACCAACACGACAGATTCACAAGGCTTGATGCCTTAAAAAATGACACCCCGCCTGTCACATAGGATGTCTCACAGATGAGATTGAATTCGGCGAAATAGCAGGAGGGCCCTGGTGCAAGCTCTCTCTGCAACGCATTCAGGTCAAAGCTCCTAGATATGGGATTCACGACGCTGAAAACCATTAACGTTTCAAGGTTACTAGTTGTTCCATGTATAGGATTACCCATGTCATAGACTGCTGGAAATTGCAGATCCTTTGTTGGATTATTTGCTGACAGTGGATGAGTAACCAGTAAACATGTGTCGTCGTTCCTCACAACAAACTTTCCTTCAAACCGGACCACCGATGAAGGATGGAACAAGTATTAACCCCCCCCCCCCACTGAAGGGCTAGCAACTGACTGATGACCGAGCGAGGATCAAGCCCATACCAACTACGGACGACTAAAATTCAATCCAAGCTTTACGTGAGACGACTTTTTGAGAGAAATAGACACACACACGAGAAAAAAGAAGGCCATGAAACTGAGTGTAGCAAAGAAAAACCGGAACCCAGAGTCAAAGTTGCGATCGATCTGCTCGCCAGATTTTTGAGAACTACGCAAATGGGTGCAGGTTTAGGAGAAGATTGGCTGGTTGATTCGATCGACTGACAAAGGAGCCGGGAAATAACAAGCGCAGGTTCTATCATTGACACCAGATCTTGCAGCAGGCGTGTTCCCTCCACCACCACCATCACCACCGGAAGAGGGTCCTAAATTGGGGGATGCATTATTGTTTATTGACTTGCAGCTCTAGCAACGGCACTGACGATCTATGAGGTGGAGCCTCAGGCTGCGGTAGATCCTTGGAAGTTAGTCTAAAAGGATGAGAGGTTCATTATGCTGTTCATCAAGACTCTGACGCAACCAGTTCGGCTTCTCATTCGGAGATAGCCTCCCGCGCTGCGTAGTACCTGGCCGCTAGAAACAGGAACGCCGAGGCTTCGACTTCAATTCCGTGACGGAAATAGCTCGCCCATGAGTGACACACGTCGGGAAACTCTGCCGGAAGCTGCCATGTCTGCCGGAGTAGGCCCTACCGACAAGGGCGCCCTCTATCTCGTTCATTCATTCCCACAGTGAACTGGAATTTTTCACGGTGTTATGTAACTTTGAACTCCTTGTCGTCATTATTCTCATTTATCAACATGTCCGTGTGTATGTGTGTGAATTTTGGTGTTTGTTGCTTTATTTTTTTGAATTTTATTTATTTATTCATTTGTTTGTTTGTTTGTTTGTTTGTTTTTTTTTTTCAATAAGTGTAAAGCATGGCACACAGAATATACAGTTCATTTCTTAGCTGCTGACAGTGTTGAATTTTTATTTTTTTATCTGTTAGTTTTTCTGTGATATTGAAATTTCTTACCTCATTGTATAAGTAGAAGCTAATTGAAAAAGATTAATTTCTAAAAATTGAAAAATTGAAAACATTGAAGATTATTTTTCAGTCAAATGATACAGAACATCAGTGACACCTGATTAAAATAAACTCCAATAAATTCATAATAATCGTTATAGTTTGGCAAGAGCTTTTTAGGCGTTACAAGTAACCAAGAATTAGTCTGACCCAATAAAACTAATTTTATTGAAATCATTTGTATGAAGTCATACATGATAAAACTTTTCAAATGTGCAATAATATGTCAAATTATAAATCTATGAGTGGACTTCATCTGGTAGATTTGCTTCTAAAGATTATTTATGTTAGCGATTCCCAATTAGTAACAATATTTTCTTATCGTCGATAGTATTGAATAAGACCTACTAGCAAAAACCATTTTCGAATTTAACCCTATTTATAATACAATGCGATGTATTGCATTATTTTCTTGCTTTGTTTTTGTAATATTTAAATCATCACCTTCACAAACCCTAAAGCTGTACAGTTTGCTGTCAAGAGTTGTGCATGTTCAACTACGATATGGGTTGAGTGTATTTCACCTTACAATACCCTTGCTACAGTTTTTTCTAGTACTCTCATGTACGAGTAAGAACTGTGGATACATCCAAAGCGGACTGAAAACTCTCTCTCTCTCTCTCTCTCTCTCTCTCTCTAGATATATATAATATCTGTAAATTTGTTAGTATATCTATGTTTGTGCATAAATCTTGTGCATGTGTTTGTGTGTTTGTTTATGTGCCAGCCGAGCATTCTTCTTAAAGAAAGGCATGTGGACTGCGAGGAGTAGACTTAGTATTATTTTATTGCTGGTTGTGAGTTTTCCGGGATATTGTTTAATGATGCTGTCTTCACCGTCGTTGACTGCTGTAGTGTGCCTTGCACACGAGTCGCTGCAATCGGCGTCCATTCGCATGGTGACTTTGGATGTTCTAGAGTCTCCGGAGAAGGTCAAAACATGGCACCGGCTTCGGAGTTGGTATAGCACTGAGAACTCCACGCAGTCGGATTGACTCACAGACCTACACAACCAATTCGGCAAAGTCGCTGGCAATTCCGGGAGGGTGAATATCGCTCTCTCCCACTCTCTATCGATCCCTCACTTTCTCCCCGTGTTCGACTTGGTAAAGCAGGAACCTGAGGGTGCTCAACACTGAAGATTGCGACGAGGCTGTAGAGTACTGGTACCGTCGACGGTAAACTTCGGTTCAGGGATCCTGGTGCTACCTTGGTTGTTCCCACATGTAGTTGGTTGAGTTGGTCTCTGCAATGGATCCAGAAGGACGTGGATCTGCCGGCAGTGGCAGTGGCCAACCTGAGAAAGATGTCCCTGGTGTGGGGAGTGGTACCGAGGACGAAGGTTTCTCGGGGGGTGGATTTGTGTCCTCTCCTCAGCGGGGATCGACTTCGTCGTTTGCGGATGCAGCTCCTAGCTTTGCAGACATGGATTCGACATGGCAGATGTTAGGCAGCGCAGAGTTTGATCAGCCAGAGGCACATGCTCCGTGGTGGGACAATCGTCAGCAAAGGTATCAGCAAAGAAATGACTTGAGCAATATTGAGCAATTAGCAGGTTCATCTAGTTTTCCTCGTGATCTTGAAGAACTTCCTAACGCGTGTCAGCTTAGAGGTCATGTAGCTCCAGGTTTAGATGCTTTCGAAGGATCAAGCCACTTCACACAGTACCAAGGGCTAGTACGACAGGAGTCATTGAACTTAATTACTGCCCAAATTGCGCGTGACCATGAGATTGAGAGGTATTCCCAGGAAGAGCTCAGAGGATTTCGAGACGAAATGGAGCGCTTCCTTTTTGACCAATCAGATTCCTTAACGCTGCCTAATCTTGAACCACAGTACTTCGGCACCAGCGGCACCAGCGGCACCAACCCTGACCCATTGGGCTATGCCGACACACCGGTGCCGGAAGTGTCGTCTCTCAGCATTGGACCTGACACCGAAGTTGATTTAAGTGATGCGTCCACCAGGGACTCGCAGGGTGCTTCTGAAGTGTCGTCTCCCGGTTCAAAGAGGAAATTGGAGGGAGTTTCGGCCGACCATGCTGGGGATCCTAATTATGATGGCAATTCCCCAAGAATTCGACAGCGCGTGCAATCCAGGTGAGCACTGCAGTCTCCAAATCATTCCCCGAGTGATTTGTTAAACCATTAAACTGGAAAGGATGGAATTAAAATACCTTAATTTAGGATCGAAATTAAAATTAGAATATGGGGAGAAAAAATATGGATAAATGCTGGAATACGGACTTATTATTATTTTCATTAATTGTTATATCTCGAATAGCCCGAGTGTACTGAACTAAACTGCCTCAACGTTTTAGATTCGTTGGTGTGACCTCTTGAGTATTGCCTTACTTCCAAAATCATGTGAACATGGTTATTTTCGCAAATTTAATGGGATTTCAACGTGCTGAGGATATTAGACACTGACTATATGTTCAACAATATGTACTAATACTATGAAGAAAATTAGCAACGACACTCTGCAGGAGTACAAGGGCAAGGGTTTGAAGGTTATAAACAGTCCTGCAGGTCGATCGCCGCAGTCACGAATAGCTATTCAAACTAGGACAGAAGTTGACGTGATAGACGATGGCTACAAATGGCGAAAGTATGGCCAGAAGCCGGTGAAGAACAGCGTTCATCCCAGGTCCTGTTCTCATCTCCGACTGTTTATTCATTTGCTGCCTCAATCAATTTTCACGTTCATAAGTATCCAGTTCAATGTGAATGATTAGGTGGGTCTTTGACCATATCTTTTAAGAACAATATTTAACAAAAAAGTATAAAGAGAAAAGAACAAAAGAAGAAAAAAAGGAAAGAAAACTTTTGTATGGAGAGTATAATATTACAGAACTCGTCTAAACGACAAATCTACCAGTCGAAACTGTTCATCTGATCATAAAATTTTAGTGAAACAAGGCGGAGTTACCAGTCTTCGTAGAAACAAGGGGTCCCCAAAAGCGGTTTCCATCCCCCCCCCCCCCCCCCCCCCCCCCCAAGAAGAGCACCCTCATTGCACGACACATATGCTAGCATGCTGTGGAAAGATATCATGATTGGTTGGACGCCCATGTGTTAAGGTCCTTTTAGGAGGGTGTGTAGTCCTTTCCAACTGTTAAAATTATTCCTCTAAAAGCTAACATTCTGAGAGTATGTGAAGATAATACATATTGAATTTTCGGTGGCGGAGTTGACGACGCGAATTGATACTAATGCATCCACACGATGACCATAAATTGATGCAGAAATTACTACAAGTGCACCACTGCCAACTGCCCAGTTCGGAAGCGAGTGGAGCGCTGTACCGACGACCCCAGCCATGTACTCACCACCTACGACGGCACGCATACGCACCCGGAGACTTCGCCGCAAACTACCGATGGTTCCAATCCTCCTCGGAATGTCGGGTGTAATTTGGAGAGGATGGTCGATGAGGATGTATCGACATCATCAGCTCCTGTAACCCCGCTGGGACCACCCAGAGTGCCTAGCAATTACTGGCCGGTCCAGCCTAACGGTCTTGCTAATCTACTACTGGCCGGCTCGCAACTTCCAGATCAGAGGCGATGGAGTCATCCAGCGGCACAGCAAATTTTCAGGTTACAGTTCCAAACGCAATACCCCCTCCTCTTCAACATGCTCAATCTTATGCGCACATTCCCTCGAGCTCGTCCACCCCTCGTGGACCCTAGAATGAGCCCTAGGTTGGATTCCAGAGCATTACATGCAGCTCAGAGCTACGCCATGAGGACGGCAAGCGGCCACATCAATCAAGACGTAGTTGGTCCTGCTTCTGCCAAGGCATTGGATCCTCAAAACAGCAGCTCCGGGCTTGGACCTTCGAGCTCTGTCCCCGTGAGCTTCTCGAGAGCTCAGCAACGTCTCTTGTGGATGCGGCAACTGATGGGCGAATCGATATTGGGCGAGCAACGTACTGGTCAACACCCTGCCTCTGATTCCACCACAGACAACTAAGATCCGATGAGTAACTTGAGGGATCCTGCATGAGTATGCAACGCATCGTGTCTAAATTTTTTACTGAACAAATGCCCGGTACATGTGGATTCATGGTTGAGCGACCAAAAAAAAGTTGTAATAATAAAAAAATATGCACCGATCGTGCGAACCAGTTGTAGCTAAAGTGCTGACAGCTTTGCCTCAACAAATCCGATCTCCATAATGTCAAGCTATCTAGCTTCATTGAAAGTCCTGTTCGTCAATGGTTTTCTAACAAGTCATTGTGGGTCGATGCCGTACTAAACCATGCCGCCAGGAAAGAGTCAACAGGATACTCGCTTGACTTCCAAAACCCTGAATTCAACAACTTATCTCCCCAAATGCAACTCTGATACAGATTTTCCTGTTCCGCTCCAGTGCGATCTAGACTGACCGGTCCTATGTGCAGATTCTGATCACTACCCAAACATGATCCAAGCAACCATCTCCACACACACAGTTACATGCATACACACCTATGCATGCACATCTGCAGGAGTATTATCCGCTAGTTAGGTGCTGCAGGAGGTACAGAAATCGACGCAACAGCAGCAGGGGGTGGCCAAAAGCGAGTCAGGAGCTACTTGAGGGTGGGCTTTAAAGTCATCGGGTACTGTGTCGCGATGCACAATGACCTGGGCGCCGGACAAGGGGCGAATTGAACCAAACCTCCTTCACTGTTGCCTTCGCATTGACCCCCACCTCGGCTCCACAATCTTGATGGTCCGACTGCTTTGACTGCAATTCCTGGCGCCCCGCCTCTCCCATCCTCGCCGCGGCCGGCTCGTCCACGAATCCGGATTCAACCGACGGATGAACGCACGGTTGAGAATCTAAATGAACGAATGAATGAAAATTCTCGTTCATGACGAACTCAGTGAATGAATGAAGTCGTTCATAGATGTGAATTTCGATGAATAAAGATGTTCGTTTCATGGATGATGACATATTGTGGAGGATGAATGTGACGTGTTTTTCATTCATCGATAGATCCAAGCTCACCGATCATTTCCCTTTAATGGGGGCTTTACAAACGTCCGTTGTGCATTTGAGCAATTGTAGGTTTTTTATGAATATGCACTTAATTCTGGCGGACTTTCTTATGCTTTTCTGCCATATATCTCGTGGAATGATGCTACATTTATTGGCTGACTTTCATCCTTTTTTTCAACACATATATATTTTTTAATTTGCATGTGGTTGGATTTTCTAAAATTAACTCTTGATTAGTTTGATTATTTTGTTGTTGACTTAAACTATTTCTTTTTTGTTGTTGCATGTCAGAAGGCTTTGATTCTAGTTGCATTTCGGAGGTGGAATCATTGTTCGTAAATCATAAACTTTTCTTTTGCGCATAGTTTAAAACAAGCATATTTATGTCATTTAATGTGAACAATTGATTGTTGTTAAGTTTGAAAAGGATGGGCACAAATAATAACCTATACTATCTAAATTACAAGTTTTTTGACCTTAAGATAAACCATTTTTAACAAGAATAATAAATAGAAGTTTAATAAAGCAAGAAAAAAATATTAAATAGTGCCTAAGTGTAACAAGAGTTGTAAAAGTGGTTCAACTAGCTCCACAAGCCAAAACACCTTTGTATAGATATGTATTTAGAATTATTGGCAATATTGATGTTCTTTTCAGTTGTAGTAATATACTTGAATAATCATAAATGCATAATATTGTAACTATATTTAAAAGAATGATAAAGCAACTCAAATTTTTACTAAAGCAATTCACTCTATCTTAACCTTTATTGCACCCTTGTAGCCTCCATCTCTGTTCCCAGCCATTCCCCATTCTCAATTGTTGTTAAGGATAGGCATGAGAGATTGGGAACGTCAAGAACAAGGGCGATGGTTGAGAATAGGGGAACAATTGGAAATAGAGACAAGGTTAAAAGGGTACAATGATGGTTTAAACATGTAGGTCAATTTATTAAAAAACTGGATCACTTTATCATTTTCTTATATAAATATATAAAAATATCATTTGAAAATTCCAATCCTAAGCTATTACAAGTTATTCAATATTTGGTTCTTCAAGAAATTTCAAATGTATATATTTCAAAGCGTAATGTTAAATGCAAAACCACCCATAGATACACACCTCTTAAATTATGCTCAATATTCTTAAAGCCAAATAGAAAGATTAAATAAATAATTCAATCCCAATATTGGTACCTGTTTAATTCTATCGTTTATTATTTTTCTTTCTATTGATCTTAGGTCTTTTTGGCTGGGAATTCTCATTCTGTAAAAGATTTGAATGTCAGTCTAATTATTTATATATAAATTTGAATTTGATTTTTTTTGTAATAAAATAAAATTCTGAATCTTGAATATTGAACTTAACATATTAATTTAATTTACAAATATACAATAAAAAAATTATTCAAAAAAGAGAAATAGAAATCTTTAAAAAATAATCTCATCTATACTTCTTTTTAAACCATTTTTAATTATTAAATACATGAAAATGAATTTACTAATTTTTCTATACACCCAGATCTAGAATTAATCTTCAAAAAAATACATAGTATCTATTAGAATCCAACCACATTTTTGTTGCAAGTGGTTAATTGTAGAAAGTTATTTTTTAAAAAATGAAAGAAATAAATCTTATTATTCTTCTTCTATTTTAAGAATTGTAATATTATAAAAGTTAATATTGATGTCCATATACATACATACATACATACATACATACATATTGTATAAGTTCAATGTAAGCAAGTATAAGATGGAAAATTGTCAATAAACACAAAGTAAGATGCCATATTTTTTATTATTTGCTGAATTGGGAATTACCTATGAATTGACAATGATTGGACTTATATTATCACACAACGTTTTGGAAGCATGTTTAAATAGAACAAGATTCAAGACAATAATGAAAATAAAATAGAATAGAAATAAATTCTAAAAAATATACTTAAAAGAACAATAATCTATTGAAATATTAGGATCCAAGGACAAAATGAAGAGGAACTGTAATTTGACTTTTATTGTCTCTTGGAAACTGTATAACATTATATGCACATTCAAACACCATTTTATGTGCAATTTTATAATTTTGCTTCTTTTAGAAAACTTTCTACTCAGCTACTATATTTGTATAATGTATTAGAAATAATTTATTTTTCATGATATTTGTAATTCAATTAATTATCTAAAATGATTAGAAAATTAATAATAATATTTTAAACCTTTATTAAAATGTTTTTTTATCTTACATACATAAAATAACTAATATGTATATATATATATATATATATATATATATATATATTATAAAATAGTATCATTATATTGGTGATTTTTTGTATGGATAATATCATTATAATTTTCTATTTTTAAAACAATCATTTAGATATTCAATAATTAAAATATCATAAAGAATTAGTCAATTTTGAATTTTTCAATTATAGGTTAGAGTAAGAAAATTTGTTATACATATCGTTTTTTATTCTTGATTCTATTAAAATCTTACATAAAAAATTAAAGATAAATTGATTATTATTATTATTATTATTAATTTGTAGTATTAAATCTTAAACTGCAGTATGTCTTTAATATAATAAATGAAATCTTAAAGATTAGATACTAAAATTATTCTTTAAATTATTTAATTTCAATAAAGATTTAACTTATAAAGATATATGGTTTATTTAATTATAAAAACCATATATAATGTGAATCCTAGTGAATCTTGATGTTTTTTGAAAAACTGACCCAATTGTTTCAGTCAATCAAAATTTTGACTTTGTTGAGTCAAGAATTCAATTAAATTGACCCTTTCAAAATGAGTCAATTCGACCAACTAAATGAATCCTCCAAACTAAGTCAATTTGACAAATTGCATTGAAGTTGATACTTGACATAAAATAGTGCTAACAACCAAATAAATTTTAATATAAAAGTGTTTAGGGATCAAAAAACATATTATATGATAAATGAAAAAGAAATATTTGGAAGAGAATAAAAGAATATATCTAAACAAGTGGCTGTTGAGGAATTGTGATTAAATGGAAGTGGAATTAATATAAGAGGATTATGTTTATTATTGTTGTGTTGGCAATTTTTTAGAAATTCTTTATTAAAAACTCAATATAACTTTATACATTTTTAGAATTAATCGTCTTTTTGTGAATTGTATGTTGGATTGTAATTTAGTTCTAAAAAGCTTAATAATATTACATGCAAATGTATGTACAAAGTCATCAAATAAGTTAACTATCATAATTTAAGAAAAATTAGTATAACAAGAAAAAAATAAAAATAAAAACTAATTAATTGAAGTAAGCTCTAATTATATTAGTAAAATATTGAATTGATTTTAAATAAAAGAAATCTTGCCAATATGCTAGATCACCAAACTAACATCCATACTCTAAGGATTGAAAAAAAAAAAAAAAAAAAAAAAAAAAATCTCATTTTGTGGAAAAAGAGCCTAATGACATAAAGTATAAAAAAAAAAAAAAAAAAAAAAAAAAAATAGAAACTGTTGATTGAAAAGATTAAAATATCAAAATATTATTGAAATTTCAATATTATGAAATTCCAATTTAATTTAATACTAAATTTGATTTGATGATAGGCTTAGTAAAAGCTAGATGCTAATTCTTTAGCTTCAAGAAAAAATAAAGATTGATAGTACCTAAAAAAGAAAAAAATAATTATAGCTTTAACATTGATTCTAAAAAAATCTTAAATATAGAAAATTTAAATCCAAATTTAACTCTAATAAGTCATTAATTCTTATTTCAATAGATTTTAATCTCATAAAATATGAATATGTAAATAAAATTAAAAATAAAATTAAAACTAATCTGATTAATTTATTAAGAAATTAAAAATTTTAAGAATTGATAATAGAAATTAATAATAATATATGAAAGATGTATTATTACAATTTTTTTTCAAACATAATATGAATTATCACAAAAGAGATTCAGAAGATATATATAAAAGATACAAAAGACATACAAAAATGGTCTTTTAGAATTTAGCAAGAATGTATATATATAGATAAAGAGAGAGAAAGAAGACATATATAAAAGATAAGAAAGACATAAAAAAAGTCTTTAAAAATTTAGCAAGAATATATATATATATATATATATATATATAAAGAGAGAGAGAGAGATCGGTTATAAAAATAAATAAATAAAATTATTTTTTTACCAAAGTAAATAAGAAAATTTTAATCATATATT